GGCCCAGGGGGGCGAAGGCGAGATATGGGCAGGAAAAGCGCGGGCGCTCCGCGCGCAGAAGGCGAGCGGGCGACGGGGGGGGGCGCGGGCCACCACCGACGAAGCTGGCGAGGGGGGGCATGGCGACGCTGCGTCGTCTGCATAGCACGCTCTCGCAGCAATGTCGAGCTCTCAGGAGCTGGAAGGCCTGGGCTACGCCAGTCGAGCCCCGTCGCATTCGCGCTGCTGATGACTCGCCCAGCGGGCCGACTCTCACCGAACCTCACCAACAGATACGGCGCGCGCTGCACTCCATAAACCTCCTCGAGCCTATCATTGCACCAGTGAGCCGTGCCTGCCGACGGGCCGCCATCAAAAATCGAAGCCTCGGCGATCTGTCCTGGCGAGGGGTCTGTCTCCAAGCTGTGCGTCTGCATATGTATATATGTATATATGTATATTTGTATATGTGTATATATGTATATATAATTAATACACCTGAGAAAACCCTATCAGTGGATAATCTCAACATTAGCCACATGGATCTCGAGATCGATTGTGAGACAGATAGTGGGATCGAAGGTGAATCGGTAGAGGACGATTGCAAGGTCGATCGCGAGACCGAGAGCGGAACCGATTCACTGAGATCGACAGGGAGATCAATCGCGAGATCGCTCGTGCGATCTCTAACGAATGAGATCGTTTGCGGGATCGATTGTGAGATCGATGGTGAGACCGATCGAGCGGTGGGAAATGAGATCGATGCTGAGACCCATCGAAAAGGATATCGACCAAGACCCCGGGAACCTGGGAACCTCGCCGCCCGCCGAAATCGGCCCGGGAAACCGGGGCCCGGGAGCCCCGAACCGGAAAGCCGGGCGCGCAGCGCGCGACCAGAATCGGCGGGCAATTTGCGCCATTTCATACGACCTCCGCTAAGGCCCCTTCAGTGCAAGCGCTGATAGGACAACGCATCTATACATATATATATATATATATATATATGTGTATATATACATATATATACATATATTTATATGCATATATATATATATATATATATTCCCGAGTCAGCGCTTGCACTGCTTGGGGCCAGCGGAGATTGTAACATTTTGCGAGCAGGCCGGGACGATTCGGGTAGGCGACCGGTTTCCCGGGCTCCCGGCGCAAGGTTCTCGGGTTCCCGTTTGCTGGTTCCGGGCCGATTTCGCTGGGCGGCGGGGTTCCCAGGTTTCTGGGTTTCCGGGTTCCTGGTCGGTTTCCTTACCGACAGGTCTCATCGTCGATCGCATCGGTCACCTCTATATCGATCTCTCTGTTTGATCTCACATCCGATCTCACTATCGATATCATAATCGACCTCGCTATAGATCGCACGACACTGTCGATCTCACTGAATCGACCCCACTTACGGTCTCACGATAGGCCTTACTATCGTCCTCACGATCGATCCCGCTATCGAACCAACAGTCGATGTCAATGCCCATATCACAGTTGTCAAACCCTCCACTGATTGGAGCTTGTCTCAGGTGTAGTATTAACACATGGCGCAACCGAGGCCCTTCGATCCAACTTTCTAAGGTCCAAAGATCTTCTTCACAACTTGCCTCATCTCCCCCTGGTCATAGAGTTTGCCAGGGGTACGTGGGAGGTCGCGCCGGACATGGAACTCGTGGCCTGGTCCACCCTCAGAACTCGGGAACAGGACGGGGCCCTCTGCTGATGCATTCGAATGGTACGTCGAAGCCAGTGGCGCGTTGGGAACGTCAAGAAACACCGTCTTACTGCATATGTGCACCTGGAACTGGATACGAGGGAACTCGTAGCTGAGGGTCACTTCAGGAGGGTGAGGGTTCAAAGTTTGGCGCAACGTCGTCTCCATCAGGGCCCTCTTGTAAACCCAAGACCACACAACGGGAAGGATTTCCTGCATGACCGAAGTCAACACGACGCCGAAGATGCCAAGAGAAACTGTCACCGTGCCTGAGGGTCGCCGGTCCTTCCACACTGCTCTTCGCCATCGTCCTCACCTCCTCTTTCTCCTCCTTCATCGCACCAATCATCCCCAACAACCCCTTCTTCAACTCAGGTCTTGCTACTTCACGATTACAAATGGCTTGTAGTCGCGCCTATTCCTGGGCGGCTTCCAACTGGACGAAGCTATCAAATGTCAGCTTGGCGAAGTCATTGTGTTTTCTGCAGGGTGTGCAAGGTCCTTCAAGCCTGGATAATCGACCCTGGGTTCCCGTAGTCCGCGTGTTAATTTCTGGCTCGCCACGAACAAGCTGGGTGGTAAATGCGTCGGCTGCTGACGATAATGGGCTGGAGCAACTCTCTGGAAACTGCGAGCGTTCAGATTTTCGAAGTACGTAACCGCGCGGGGTTCGCCGCTGCGGGGCTCACCGAAATTGTCTGTACTACCCGTTCGGGAAGTCGGGGCCCTGGGCCACAGCATGGCTTGGCGCATCGTTTCCATGACAGGAGGGGGACCAGCCACCGAAGGTACGGGAGAACATGACACCAGAAAACCACGTGGCGCGGACACGTGCCTGGCATCCAGGTGCCTCGAGAGATTTCGAGGTTTCGGGGCAGACCCCTTGGACCAAAATGGCTTGAGCCAGCATGGATACGGAAGGAAAAGGAGGAGGAGGAGGAGGAGGAGAAGGTTGAGGAGGAGGAGGAGGAGGAGGAAGCCAAGGAAGAGGATGATGATGAGAAAGAAGAGCGCTCGCGACTAAGGCGGGGAGAGGGGCGGGGGTAGGCGCGGGTCTCGGCGATGGAGTAGATCGCGCCCGAGCGGCGGGCGATGACCCACAACCGCGCCTTGAACGCGTCAAGGGCGTATTGCCTGGACCTGGTCCCTCGGACTCGGGCTGCATTGAAAGCAGAGAGAAGCAAATCAAGAAGAGGAGGAGGAGGAGGAAGGGGAGGAGAGATGAAGGCTCGTTTCCCATTGTCCCCCCGTCCTTGTCGCTCCGTCACCTCTCCTGCCCAAGAGCACATGCCCTGTCCCTTTGGACAGCAGTCCACAGGGCCCGCGATGGGCTTGGTCTCTGGACGAGCCTGCTACCAGCTGCAAGCACTCACGAAGAGGGACGGAGGGAGGCAACACGACCCCTAGAGGCCTCGTAAGTGAAATCGGAGTAGATGGGGTCAGAGGATCGCGCCGCATCGACGATACATCGGCGATGCATCGGCGACGTCAGTGCATCGGCGACGCCAGCGCGGAGAGAATTGGGCTCCACATCGCGCCGCATCGGACCCCTTCCGCTCGAACCCCTTCTGGGAGGCCTAGAACCCTCCGGCGTGGCCTAATAGGGTGTCCGTAAATGGCTGGGGGGAACGTGCACCGTTCGGGTCCTTTTGAGTTTTATGATGGCCCCTTTTACGGTCTCTTTGTTAGGCGTACCTTTCTTCATGCATCACGTATCTCCCCCCACTGCGCAACGGCCGAGGCCAAATCAGCTCAAAATCGATCCCTGGACCCCTCCAGGGGCTCCTCTTGTGTAATTCCAACCAGCCTTCTGGGCGTCGGTGGTTTAGGGAGTTCCCTCTTCCACCCCTCCTTCTTCCCCTTCGGGGAGGGGCTTACCCCTCCCCCCACCCCCTCCCCATGGACCTGCGGCGAGGAAGCCCAAATCACTGGTTTTACTAAGGATGTGGCCCCAGTTTGGCCTCCTGAGGGGGGGACCCTAATTAGTGCCCCCCCCTCCTGTGATCGATCTTACCCAAGATGGCCCAAAGATGGCCCCCAAGGGTGCCCCAAGAGGGCCCCAAGAGATGGCCAGGAAGCCCCAAGAGGCCCCCAGGATGCCCCCAAGAGGCTCCCAAGAGACCCCCAAGAGGCCCCAAGAGACCCCCCAGAGGCACCCAAGATGCTCCAAGAGGCCTCGGCGAGAATGCCGAATGATTGATTACACTACGGTTTTAGCCACATGTTGGCCTCTTGGGGGGGGGGGGACCCATTATGATGACTCCAAGAGCGCCTGGGAGAGCCCAAGATGACCTCCAAGATGGCTCAAGATATCCCAAGATGTCTCAGAATGGTTCCCACAATGATCCAAGATGCCCCAAGATCGCTCCAAGACGGCTCCCAGTGGCCAACGAGCTCCCCCAGGAGGCCCCGAAGAGGCCAAAACCTGCGGAAATTCAATGTGTTTGGCTTTCTCGCCTTGTCGCTTCCGATGGCCATCCGAGGCCTCAAGATGGCTCCAAGATGGCCCAAGGAAGCTCCAAAAAAAGGCCCCAGAGAGCCCCAAGGCGGCCCCAAGAGCGCCCAAGACCGCTCCAAGAGCGCCCCAAGAGCGCCCCAAGAGGCGATTGTTCGGGCTCCCGAGGGGCAACGCTAACTAATGCTCGCTTCTTGTTTGATCGATGTCTCCCAAGATGGCCCCAATAGCGTTCTCAAGGGTCCCAAGAGCGCTTCAAGAGGGCCCCAAGAGGCGCCCAGGAGGCCCCAACGGGCGCCCAAGAGGCCTCCAAGATGCTCCCAAGAGACCCCCAAGAGGCCCCAAAAAGCTCTCCGAGGCACCCCAAGACGCTCCAAGAGGCCTCCACTGGGGGGGCCCTTCCTCTGTGTGCTGCCCACTTCCCTGATCGAGGCAATTCCTCTGGGCATCGTTTCTGGATGGGCTGGTGGGGGTATTTTTTTTGCCAGCGGCCGCAGGCGAACGCGCCAGCGGCGAGTCCAGCCAAAGCGGGGCACGCAGCGACAAATTCACCTGAAGCAGCGGGGCGCAGCCTCACCTAAAGCGGCTAGGCGGAGCCTCGCGCATCACCTCAGCGGCGGACCGGCGAGTGGAAGGGGCTGGCTGAACTGAGTCGTACTGCCAGCGTGCAAATATGCAAGGCGTATCTGGTGGGGTTACGCGAAACGTCTAGAATTTTCACTCTGTTCAGTTTTCGACAGCACGGGGGCCCGAAAGCGGCCCCCGGAAGCAAACCAACACAAAAAACCTGAGCGCCGGCACTCCCCCCCCCCTACGCAACACCCGCAACCCCCGACGTCGCACATCTCGGGCCTCAAGCCCCCAGGCAGCTTCCCCAGGAGCTCGCCCGCCGCCGCCTCGAGCATCGCCTCGAGCTCAGGGGCCCGGGAGCGGTGCACGCCGAGGCCGCCCCGCCCCGCCGAGGCGCACAGCCGTACGTTCGTCATCGTCGTCGTCGTCGTCGTCGGCGTCGTCGCCGTCGTCACGTCATCGTCGGCGTGGTCGTCGTCGTCGTCACCGCTTTTGTCGTCGTCGTCACCGCTTTTGTCGTCGTCGTCGGCGTCGTCGTCGTGGCCGTCGTAGTCGTCACCGCTTTCGTCGTTGTCGTCGTCGCCGTCGTCGTCGAGCGTCGCCGCCGTCGTCCGACGTCGTCGTCGTCGCCGTCGACGTCGGCGTCGTCGCCGTCGTAGTCGTCGTCGGGCGTCGTATTCGTTGTCGCCGTCGACATCGGCGCCGTGGCCGTCGTCGTCGTCGTCGCCACCGCCGCCGTTGTCGTCGTCGCCGTCGTCGGAAGAGGAGGTGAAGGAAGGGCGACGAGGGAGAGAAGGGGAAACGCAGCGGGGGAGGCATGACCCGAGAAGAAAGAGGACGAGGGTGAGTAGGAAGCAAAATGAGGAACAATATGAGGGAATTCATGGTGTGGTCAATTACGGAAACGAGGGGGTAATGAGGACATTCTTGACACAGGGATGTGCAGGAACAGGCAGGGAAGGAGAAAGCGTAAATCCAAACAGCGGAGGAGGACCAGGAGAGAGGATCGAGGATGGGATAGGGTCCCGTATTATAAAAAGGGGAAGGGTATGAACCTGTGGTAATGGAGCAGCAACGGGATGATGAAGAAGACGAATACAAAAAGGAGGAAGAGGAAACGAAACAGGAGGAAAAGAGGAAGGTGATCAAGGAGGGATGAGGCCCGGACAAAATCAATAATACCGCCGCCCGCGATTGACTACCATTGAATCGAATCATTCTGACATGACCTGTTACAGGTCCTAAACCAAGCGTGGCAGAACGAGGCAGGAAGCTAGTCTGACAGCGGGATCAGCGCCCGAGACGAAAGGAGCAAGGCTCAACCCTGAAGGCGGTGAAATATTCTTCGGATATCGTGACCACGCACAAGAAGCATCCTGGATGTCTTCGCTGGTCTCCGAGACTCGAACGGATAACTCTTGGCGGGCGTCCGACTGAACTTTCACACGGATGACCTTTGGAGGATGACAGCAGGTCTTCCGTGTAACAGGTACTCGATCACCACTGCGATGGCTATCCATGGGCAGACTCCCAAGGGCCATCGGTCCATCGCTCCGCCCACCACACCATGCAAATCCGAACGCTGTCCCAACGAATGGTCGCCGTCGTCATCCTCATCCTCCTCCTGCTCTTCCTCCTCCTGCTTTTCCTGTTCCTCCACATGTTCCCCCTCCGGTTCGTCGTCGTCAACCTCCTCCTCCTCCTCCTCCTCCCGCTCCTCCTCCTCCTCCTGCTCCTCCTGTTCCTCATCGTCCTGCTCCTCCTCCTGCTGCTCCTCCTCCTCCTCCTCCTCCTGCCCCTGCTCCTCCTCCTCCTGTTCCTCCGCCTCCACCTCCTCCACCTTCTCCTCCTCCCCCCTCTTCCTCCCTGAGGGAGGAAGGATGAAGAAAACTCCCAGCAGCACTCGAGGCCAACGGGGCCCGGGAAGGGACAGCCCGCGGCGGGCCAAGGTGCTAAACCGAGGTGGGGCCCACTGCCGAAAAAAAAAAAAAAACGCAGACGACGCAAGTCAATTACAGCGCCCCGGGCAGGTGCCTTTGGCGACCGCCTGGTCTGCGGGCGAGGGGCGCCCGCCGAGGGAGAAAAAGGCGAGCCAAGGGAGGCTTCTTCTGGGCGGCGAGGGCGGCCAGCCCGAAGAGAGAGGGACGGGGAAAGGGAGAAGGGGAAGACGGAGGGGCAGTCGGTCGTCGTCGCTTCGGGAGGTCGTATGAGACCCGTCGTCGGTTATGGTCGTCGTCGTTGGTGGTCGTCGTCGCCGGCAGAGGTGGCCGCCTGGCTACTGCAGGAGATCGTCAGAGATCGTCGTCGGCGACGGTCGAATCGTTAAAGTAGGACGTCGTCGGCAGTGGCCGCTGCCCAGGGCAGCGCGGCAACATGCGGATCAGGCATCAAGTGCCTATGGCAGCCAGCAGCGCCTCGGCGTTGCCAACCTGGAACAGCAGCTGAACTGCTACCTGGCATGCCGTAGCACCTCGGTGCGCGCCGCTCGCTCCAAGCCGTGCTCCAGGGACCGCACGTAGGCCGCTGCCGCGTCACCTGGGCGCCCGCCGGTCTCGAAGACGACTGGGACAAGGTCGCCGCCGTGAGGTGGGTACCTCCGTCGCGTGTCATCCTCGCGGGTCTGGGCGGCAAGGCCATCCCGGCCGGAGCGAGGCCGCTGGCGCGAGTGGTCGTCGCTGTTCCTCCTCCCCCTGTTCCTCCTCCTCCTGCTCCTCCTCCTCCTCCTCCTGTTCCTCCTCCCCCTCATGCTCCTCCTCCTGGGGTGCGCCACCGCGAGCGCAGGTGCGCGTGCCTGGGCGCTGTCTGGAAGGGGGGGAGAGGGACAGAAAGAGAGAGAGAGAGAGAGAGAAAAACAAATGCGGGGAAGGCGGGGCGTCCTCGTCATCATCATCATCATCATCATCATCATCATCATCATCATCATCATCATCATCATCATCATCATCATCATCATCAGCATCATCATCAGCATCAGCATCAGCATCAGCATCAGCATCAGCATCAGCATCATCAGCATCATCATCATCATCATCATCATCGTCATCATCATCAGCAGCATCAGCATCACCATCATCAGCATCATCACCATCACCATCACCATCACCATCATCATCAGCAGCATCGGCATCAGTGTCGGCGTCATTCGCATCATCAGCATCATCATCAGCATCATCATCAGTAGCATCATCAGCATCATCAGCCTCAGCCTCAGCTGCATCAACATCAGCATCAGCATCAGCATCATCAACAGCAGCATCATGATCATCATCATCATCATCATAATCATCATCATCATCATCATCGTCATCATCATCGTCATCATAATCACCATCGTCATCGGCATCAGCAGCAGCATGATCATCACACTATCATTACCACCACAAGCATCCCCATCATCATCAGCAACATCATCATTATCAGCAGCATCTTCATCATCGTTTTCCTCATGGGCATCGTCAGCGCCATCGTCATCGTCATCGCCATCAGCGTCGCCATCGCCATCGTCATCGTCAACCTCATCACCATCCCCATCACCATCCACGTCACCATTACCACCGTCATCCTGATCCTCATCTTCCCTCCTCCTCTTCCTTCTCATCATCATCATCATCATCATCACCATCATCATCAACAACATCATCAACATCGTCATCCACGCCATTGTTACCCTCATCGTCATCAAAAAAAATCTCTGCCCATTGGCCTCGTCTGCAATGCCAGCCTTCGCGAACGCGTTGACCATGGTTGCGAGGTCGGTCGCCTTGAAGCTGTGGATTTTCTCGCGGACGGCCATCGATATTGCCTAGAGCAGGGGGTAAGAGGGAGGAGGAAGATCCGCCCTCTGAGAATTCCCCCCCCACATGCAGTCTTTCTATTGTCAAATTTCTGCCCCATTCCTCCGTCCCCAATCAATCCGCCAATACCCCTTCCAATACCCCTGCCCTTCCACCTGTCCCCGACATTGACTGCCAGTCCACCCCTCCGCCCTCCCTTTTCTCCCCACCTTGCCTCATCCCTTCCTCTTCACACCCGCCTCTCTATGTTTCCCGAGTGTGTTTCTACTACTTGCTGTTCCCAACCATCCTGTGGTGTTAGGTCCGCGTTTTGAAGAGACGGCGCCCCGCGTTCTTCCAGTTTTCTTCCTCCCCCTCCTCTTTTCTCCCATCCTTGTCTGTGTTCTCCGCGTGCCGTCATATCCATCACTATCGTCAGCATCGTGATCACCATCGCCATCATCGGCGTCATCAACATCGTTATCGTCAGCGTCGTCACGCACCCCTCACACGGTTCGTGGCCACACACGGAGGGAGCTCCACCGAAGGCCCCGATGGCACAGGTTGCATGCGTCACCGCCACCCATTTTGGCACACCCCTCACACGGTTCGTGGCCCTGTGCCCAGAGCGTCGCACTTGGCCCGTCGCGCGCGCGAGCCGTGCTGCGTCGGTCGGGCGCGACATGTTTTAGTGCCGCGATAGATTGGTCAGCCACGCGCTTGACAGTCTGACCGCGCGCGAGGGTGGGAAGCTGAGACCCTCGTAGCCAATCATGAGAGTTGACCAGCTTTTTGGGCGCGGTTGCGGAAGATGTCGAAACGAGTGAGGAAGTTATCGACGCGCTCCTGCGACACTGGGTTGCATTTCGTCATCTGAGACTGCCGAAGCGCGCTCCTCCTCGCCCACTGGGCCCCGACGTTCGGCCGAGATGTGCATTGGGAAGGTCATGTCATGGGTGGCACTGAGTGGCCGTTGATGGCGCCCCCCGGCATGAGGACAGCTGGCGGTCACTCGCCCGCGCGTTCTTTCGGCGCGCTGGCGAGACGAGACGAACCATGGGCCGCCCGGCGAAACTCGGTGCGGTCCGAAGCCCGACTTCGCCACTGACCAACACATCACCTCCCGGGCCCGTCGCTGGACGGCAATCCGAGACTGCTGCTCGGGCACCCAGGCGCGGAGATGCCGTGCGCTGCCGCCGCCGATTGCGTCCACGCAGGCGAAGCAGCTAGCCGGGGCCCGCATGCCCACATCGACGGCCTTCCATCCGGAGTAAAGGCCCCTCCGCAAGTCAAGGAGGCGCAGGGGGCCGGGGACCCACCGACGGCGTTGTTCTGACCATGGGCCACGGGGCCGTCGTGGGCCCCTGCCCCGAACATGTTTTTCTTTGTCAACGCATAGGGTATTATCTTCTGTCCTTTCATAGCGGCTGACACAGCGCTCCGGACATCCCGCATCGTAGATGCGAACGTGGCCTTCGTGCGTCGCGTCGTCGCCACGTTTGCCGCGCCCGGGGCGTTCCGCAACATAGTTGCGGACGTGCCCCCATTTGCATCGCGTCGTCGCTGCACTGGGCACCGCCAAATGTGCGACGATCAAAAAGAATACGCATCGGGATCTCGCCCCGCCAGCCTGGAACAAACCGGCGGGCGTGGCGAGATGTCGCGTACCAAGACAGCGAAGACAGGTCGCCCCAGACGTGTTTCACTGCCCCGTGGAGACATGACAAAATATTTGGCCAACACTCCGCTGGATCCCCACTCGTGTCCGATTTTTCATCCGCCTACATTTCCCGAGGTTCCTGGAACATAATTGCGAAAAGCTCCGGGCAACTGGCTGGGGCTGCTGATGTGAACGATGGTGGTTCCTGAATTTCAACCGAAGACAACGCCTGTGGTTCCGGGAGCGACTCCAACATATTTGGGGCACGCCCCGGGGGAGAAGCAGGAAACGGTAGGGTGGCGCCGCGCTCCCTGAGGTTTCCGATGATGTCCTTGTAATGGTGGGTGTCCTTGTTGTCCAACTTAGCGGGCACGATAATCATGAACACGGAAAGCAGGAGCATTCGAAACAATCGTGCCGAATACGGTGAGGATGGTGGGGTAGAAATAAGCGAGCAAGAGGCTGGCTCAGGTGCCACGCGGGCCATGGCGGCGAAAAGGGTCGATCGGGGTCAGCCCTGCTACCAACTATGAAATAGAATAATTGTTGCAAGCGAAACGCTGGAGACGCATGTTATGACGAATCGAATCTCGCTCTAACACGAGCACGGAAAGAAAACCCTACCATGCCCCCGACAACAAAACCTAATATAGACAGGGCACAGGAGGCATGAACTATCGGTATGCTACTGTTCGAGTAAGAGGAAGAGGAGGAGGAGGAGGAGGAGGAGGAGGAGGAGGAGGATGGAGGAAAAGGAGGAGGATCGACGATCGGGGAAGAGGAGGAGGGAGGAAGGAGAAGGAGTGGTCGAGGAGGAGGGTCGAAGATCGAGGGTCGCGGATCCTGTTCGTCTCCCTCGTCGGCGCCACTTTGTCCAGGCCCCAAGCGCGGGGCGCACGCGCGGCTCGCCGCGCGGAGACCAGACCGACCGACCCACGGTCCGTGTCGGTGCTTCTCTCTCTGACTCTCTTTCTGTCCCTGTCTCTGTCTATCTCTCTCGCTGTCTCTCTCTCTCTCTCTCTCTCCCTCTCTCTCTTTCTCCCCCCCCCGCTCCCGACTGTGATTGCCTGGTACAGCAGCGGGTCCTTCACCTGGAGCGAGGCGAACGATGACGTCATTGTGGCCAGTGGATTCGGAGCCAGGTCGTGGACACGCTCTTTCACTCGCGCCACCAGCGCGTCCCTGAGCTCCTGGGGGTATGAGCAACATCAGGACCAGTAGGAGAACTGGATCAGCAGCCTCAATACCTTCTCCCTCTCCTTATCCCATGTCATCCTCCTCATCCTCCTCCTCGCGCCCTCTCCCCCTCCGCATCATCTCTCCCCCTCCTCCTGTCAGTTCCCCTCTTCCTTCTCATCCTCTGCCGCACTGTGCCCCAGAACGTATGGGCGATCCAGAGCATCCTCCTCCTGCTCATCTCTCGCGAACGGCTTGTCCTCGTCTTCCTTCATGTCATGCTCTTGCTCCTGATCCTCCTCCTCCACCTCCTTCCCGTCGTACTCAACGTCCTCCTCGTCGTCTGCCTTGCCCTCATCCTCATCCTAGTCACGGCTCTTCCTCGGCGTCGTGGCTCATCCTCGTCATTGTGCCCCAGAGGTGGACGACACCCGTCCCCTCTTCCAACTCGCATTCCTCCTCCTCCTCCTCCTCCTCCTCCTCCTCCTCCTCCTCGCTATCTTCCTTCTCCATCCCCGTCTCCCGCCTTGCTCTCCTCCGCCTCGCCCTCCTACTCCTCCTGCGCCTCTGCCTCCCCCGTATTATCCCAAACCCCTCTCGTACTCAACATGGCCATTATCTCTGTCATGTTCCCTACGACCATCTGTATCATTACCCCTCATCCTGCTCCTCCATCCTCCGTTTTCTGATCACTCCCACCGATAGTACGCACACGCGTCCTCCCAACTTTCTCCACCAATGTCTGAGGCATCTGCTTCTGAACCTGTCGTCTGCCCCAGATTGGGGCCGCGAGGATTGACAAGGAGGAGGAGACGGAGGAGAAGGAGGAGAAGGAGGAGGAGAAGGATGAGGATCAGTAAGAGGCGGAAAAGACGGCGGAGGAGGACGACAAAGGAGGAGAGACCAGACGAACGGAGGCGGCAGGAGAAGGGGGAGATCCGCCGACCCCCCTTAGCGGGGGGTGATAAAACTGTTGGGCCACCTATCGGGCGTTGGCAGAACTGGGTTTAGTGGAACCTGGTTTAGTGATGTGTACTGGGGGGGCCCCCCCCCCGCCCCGTTCCGCTAACCGGAACTGCCGTCACCCGAAAAACACCAGTTACGGCAAACCTGGTTTAGTGAATCTGGCCAGTTGAGGGGCCCCAGGGCCCTACCACTTACCAGGTCCCCTTACCCGGGGTCCTGGCTATACCCGAACCTAGCCCTCTCACCCTGTTCCTCACCAGAGGTTCAACATCCCGTCAAAGGAGAGAGGGCGCGCGCGGGCCCCCCACCAACTCCGCAGAGCATCTCCGGAGCCTTCGACGCCCCAATTCCACACCCGGACGCCTCCAGCATGCCCAACATGTCCTCCAAGATGGGTGCAGGAGGGCTCCAACACGACCGAGAGGCCTGAACCCAAACTCAAGAAACCACAACAGCACCCAAGTGGGCAGAAAGAGGTATCAAGAAGGAGCCCATACACCCCGAAATCATCCAAGTAGTATAATTTTAGTTCGTGTGTGTGTGTGTGTGTGTGATCTCGCCTTATCGTTTCCACGCTAATCCGAGAAGATCAACAGAAGGCCCCCATGAAGCCCAAGATGCTCCCTAAATTCGCCGGCCCAACGGGCCAAGGGCGTGCGAAAATCCCCGGTGACTCGTTAATACATTATGATTCGCGCGCGCGGGGCCGCCCCTGGGGGTCACCAGACGAAATAAACACCGGCAAGTCCCGGCAAAGTCCCGGCAGGATCCCGGGCAGGTCCCGGCCAGGTCTCAGCAGGCTCCCAAGAGCCTTCCAGGAGCGCTTCAAGTGGCCTTTAAGAGAGCTCAACATGGCCCGAGACGGCCCACGAGCGATCCAAGACGCCAAAGATGGCTTCCAGACAGCCCAAAACGCCTGCAAGACGCCCCAAAAGGCCTCCAAGAGACCTCCCAAGACAACCGACAGAGTCAGAAATTAGTGATTTCCCTGAAGTTTTTGAAGGTTTTGGGCATTCTCGCCTTGGGAGCTTACCGGCGCTCGAAGACGGCCCAGATGCTTCCAGGATCGCCCCAACTAGACAGCCCCAGACGCTTCCAAGATGGCCGAAGAAGCTCCCAAGACGGCCCCAAGAGCGGGCCCGAACGAGGGACCCGAACGGACATGTTGAGCTCCAGACGCCGAAAGGTCCCATGGAAGCCCGAAGAGGCCCCTGAGAAGCCCCCTAAGAAGCCCCCGAGAGGCCCCAAGAGATCCCCAAGAGGCCCCAATGACTTCCCTTCAATGTTTGAAGGTGTTTGGCGTTCTCGCCGTGGGAGCTTTCTGGCGCTCCAGAGCGGCCTAAACGGCTTTCAGGATCGCCCCAACACGGCCCAAGAGGCTTCCAAGAGCGCACACGACGGCCAGAGGGCCCCTAGACAGCTCCAGAGGCTTCCAAGATGGCTGAAGAGGCCCCCAAGACGGCTCCAAGAGCGGGCCCAGACGAGGGACCCGAGAGGACATGTCGAGCTCTAGGCGCAAAGAGGTAACCTGGAGGCTCCAAGAGGCCCCCAAGAAGCTCCCAAGAGGCCCCCGAGAGGCCTTCCAAGAGGCCTTCCAAGAGGGCCCACAGAGGCAAAACGAGCGGTTTTCCTTAGATGTTTGAAGTTTTTTGCCGTTCTCGCCTTGGGGGCTCACTGGCGCTCCAGGGCGGCCCTTGAACCTTTCAGGATCGCTCCAACACGGCCCAATAGCCATCAAAGAGCGCCCACAACGGTCCAAGAGGGCCCCTCGACAGCTCCAGAGGCTTCCAAGATGGCTGAAGAGGCCCCCAAGACGGCTCCAAGAGCGGGCCAAGACGAGGGACCCGAACGGACCTGTCGAGCTCGAGGCGCAGAGAAGTTCCCTGGAGGCCTCGAGAAAACCCCAAAGGTCCAAGAAGCTCCCAAGAGGCCCCCGAGAGGCACCAAGAGACCTCCAAGAGGACTCTAGAGGCCCCCGCGACGCCCCAGGAGGCTCAGAAATACCGCCAAGAGGCCCCAAGAGCACGCCTATCGCCTCACTAACCCTTCCTTCTTTCTTCCCTCTCCTCCTTCTCCCCCCTCTGCGTCAACGACTCTCAATCCTCGAACGAAAAGCGCTTCGCCAAGAGACCCCAGAGAGGCCTCCTATCGTCTAACAAACTCTTCTTTCTTTCTTCCCTCTCCTCCTTATCCCCCCTCTGCGTCAACGACCCTTACTCAATAAATCATCACGACCCGAATCGAAAGGCCTCCTCCTCATCCTTACCCTCCACTCTTCCTCCTCCTCCTCCTCCTCCAAACCCTCCCCTTACTCCTCCTCCTCCTCTTGCTCCTTCTCTTCCCCTCCTCCCTCTCCTTCAACGAACCTCAACCCCTCCCCCCTCTGATTCAACCAACCTCCATTCTCCAACCAAGAGCGCTACAAAAGGTCCTCCCAATGGATACGAAGACGATACGAAGAGGGCCTCCCAATAGCCCAGAAAGAGGCCCTGAGGCCCCCGAGAGGCCCCCAAAGGCACGACAACACCACCACGCAGCCACAGTGATGCGAAATGGGCCGGCGGAATGAGCGAATCAATGTCAAAATAGCCTGTCCTCCAAGACAGCCCAAAACTTGCTCCCAGACGGTCCAGGACAGCCCCAATACAGCCCCAATACTCCCACACGACCCAAAGACCTTCAGCAATGATCCCAGGACCCCTGACGCGAGAGCACAAATCCGCCGACCCTTCGGCGTGTGAGACGGTGTCATCATCTTTGTCGCAGTCTTAAGGGAATAGGAAAACGAACAGAGAAAAAACACGTTGTAGATAAGTCGATTCCATCACCTTGTTCCCCCTCCCTGACGGCGAAGGGGAGGATACGGGGGGGGAGAGGAGGCTGGAGGGGTACGGGGGGCGTGGGGGAAGATCCCGGGTCATTACCGCCCCCCGCTCCGGGTCACGGCGACCGCCCTTCCCTCCCTGGTCCCCCTGTGGTCAGGGGGAACAGGGGCGAGGGGCACGGGCGGGGGTCCTCCCTTTGGGGGGTGGGTCCTGGGGGCGGGGTCCCACCCCCCCTTCCCCCTCCCATCGCCGCCTCCCTGCGACGGTGAACAGGGCCCCTCCGTGGGGGGTTCCTGAGTCAGATTACTGCCCCCCTTACCAGGTCCCCCCAATGGACAGGGGGGTGGGGGGGGCAAGGGGTGGGCCCCCCGGCAAGGGGAACTCAGTGCCATCCCCCTCCCCTCTCTGGTCCCCCCTGTGGACGGGGATCGAGGGACAGCAGGGCTCCGGCCCCCCGGGTGGTCAAGGTGGACCCCCTGTGGAGAAGGGGGGGGGGTGGACGAGGGAGCGATCCCCCTGTGAGCAGAGATCTCAGGACCCTGCGGACAGGGGTCAACGAGACCACCCCCTCCGAGGGGGTCGCCAGCGCGGGTCCCAGAATGGCGCCACCCTGGGGTCCGCGCGGGTCCCGGGAGAGGCGCCAGCAGGGATCCTCAGGGTTGGCGGCACTTGCCGTACAGTCGGACTTGATGGGACAGGACACGCGAGAGGACACCAGACCCTTCCGAGTGCCACATTGCCACAGGAATGTATGAGGCATAGGTCGCGAGACACAGGGCACAGGGGTACCCTTGACTTGGCAGGATCGACCTACTAATCAGTGCCGACTGTAAGGCCTTCAGGATTGGCGGCACTGGCAGTAAGGCCTTCACACAGGATCCCCAGTAGGGCCCCCAAAACCACCGACCCTGTCGGCGTGTGTGAGAAGGAATTCTGGGGTGGACGTCCAGGAGTGATCCTGGGAAACGCTTTTCCAGTCGAAGCTCTCTTCCCCTTCCCTGCGGCGACCTGGGACTCTTCAAGCTCGCCAGCCCGAGGTGAATCGGCCCAAGGTCACAATCGAGCCAAAGGAATGCCATTCCCTTCGGCTTCCCCGCCACGCCTCCCGGACTCGGGCGATCTTGGGGCCAGTCTGACTGTCTTTAGGCCACCTGCGGCACGTTCATGTCGTGCCGACTTCGGCTTTGGTTTCTAGCACGCCGGGAATCGTTCAACCTTGAACGATCGGCCGTTTCCGAAAAGTCAGATTGCTGACTACGTATCGACCGATTCTGGGTCGCAGGCGGCGCTCAACGTTGAACGCCAGCGGCGGGGTCGCCACCGGTCGACACGACGCGAACCTGTCGTACGCCCGCTTGAGCCATCTCGGGGCCCACTTCAACAATCGTGGGAATCTCGCGGTCCGTCTGAGGCGTACCGTGGGGCCAGCCCAAGAGCCTGAATTGGCTGAATCCCTGAGGTTGTTGTATGATTATGAACATTCTCGCCGCATCGGTCGTACGAGCGCCCGAGACGGCCCAAGAACCCCCAAGACCAGCCCGAGATGGCCCACACCACTGTCGCACCGCTGGAAGCCACGCCCTCGAACATGATCCCAACACCTCCAGGAGGCTTGAGATGCCCCAAAACGCGCCCAAGTGGGCCACCAATGCCCCGAGGAGCCCACCAAGAATACGATCCTCCCGAATGATCCAAGGCCTCTTGAACAACATCCAAGCGCACTGGCGGGATGTGCCGAAAAGCATTATATGTTCACCCTCGCATTGCAGCCGCCACTGCCCCTCTCGCCCACTACATATTCAGCCTTTTGCGCCCAAGCTGTTCGCTTCTCAAGGTCGGCGGAATTGACTGTATCAGGCATTTGCAATCCGCAGCTGTGCCCTGAAGCACGAATTGGAGTGCCCTCAGGTCCCATGGAGCTCCTAGCCCTCAACCCTGGATGACTTGGTATTAACATGATCGACCCACGAACCCGGAAAGGAATATAGAAATGTAAGGCATTGCAACATTTCAAAGACACCTGATTGGGCGACGGGCACATGCAATGCTGAATGTATCGATGATGATGTACTGTGCCGAAGGCTGTGCTGTGCTATGCCGTGCTGAACTGCGATGTGCCATGCCGCGATTGTGCTCTATATAGCGTTGGGGATCGAGTCCTCCCTGGCATCGGAGTCCTCACCAAACTGATCTGGAGCGTAAGCTCGAGCTGCCTGAGCAGATGGTAGCTGCCCCAGAACTAATCGACAGAGGGAACATGCCAGGAGGACGCGCCGAGGAACGTCCCAAGGGACGCGCCAGGCGACGTGCCAGGGGACGTGCCATGGGCACGCACCGCGGGACGTGCCAAGGGGACGCGCTACGGAACGTGCCAGTGGACGTGCCGAGGGACGTGCCAGGGGACGCTCCGCGCGACGTGCCAGGTGGACTCGCCAAGGAACGCGCCAAGGAACGTGCCAAGGTGCATAGTTGAGTGTATCGATCTTGATGTACCGTGCCGACGGCTGTGCTGTGCTGGGCCGTGCTGAACTGCGATGTGCCATGCCGCGATTGTGCTCTGTATAGCGTTGTGGATCGAGTCCTCCCTGGCATCCGAGTCCTCACCGAACTGATCTGGATCGTAAGCTCGAGCTGCCTGAGCAGATGGTAGCTGCCCCAGAACTAATCGACAGAGGGAACATGCCAAGAGGACGCGCCGCGGAACGTCCCAAGGGACGCGCCAGGCGACGTGCCAGGGGACGTGCCATGGGCACGCACCGCGGGACGTGCCAAGGGGACGCGCTACGGAACGTGCCAATGGACGTGCACCGCGCGACGTGCCAGGTGGACTCGCCACGGGACGCTCCGCGGAACGTGCCAGGCAACATGCCAGGCTGCAATGCTCAGGGTATCGATATTGATGTACCGTGCCGAGGGCTGTGCTGTGCCTGGGCGACCTGGACACGTGAAAACACGCGTTTCGCTCAAGACGTTGTCAGCATATCCTCATGCTAGACATCCGCCTGGGCAACCTGGACACGTGCAAACAAGCGTCTCGCTCGAGACATCCTCAACAAATCCTCATGCTAGACATCCGCCTGGGCCGCCTGGGCGACCTGGACACGTGAAAACAAGCCTCTGGTTCGAGACATCCTCAACAAATCCTCATGCTAGACATCTGTCTGGGCCACCTGGAGGCGTGAAACCAGGCGTCTCGCTCGAGACATCCTCAAGACCTGGGCACGTGAAAACAAGCAATACACTTGAGAAATCCTCAGAATTCAGGTCCCCAGGAGAGGACACTCTATAGCACAAAACAAGCGTTTCGCTTGAGACATCCTCAACAAATTCTGAAAAACAAGCGTTTCGCCAGGGACATCCTCAATTTTTAATTCGCCGGCCCTACGCGACCTCGTTATCTATCGCAAAAGAAATTCGCCGGCCCTACAGCCGTCAAAACCGGGGGAAACCAACTAAAAGAGAACCCTGGGCTCAGGCCCTTTCCGGGAAAAAGCCTGGATCCCACGTTGCCAGATTTCCGTGGGAGCGTCGCGTCTTGTGACATGAGTTTTTCGGAGCCAAGAGGACCACAAGATAGGCTCCCAAGACGGTTCAAGAGCCTCCCGAGTCGCTCGAAGATCACCCTCAGACGCCCAAGAAGATTGCCTCCATACGGCTCAAGAAGTCAGGTCGACGCTCTGAAATGGCCCAGGAGGCCCCCAATATTGTCCCAAGACGGCCCAAGAGGCTTCCAAGAGGGCTCTCAGACGGCCCAAGGGAACGTCAAGACGGCCCAAGAGGCCCTCAAGACTGGCGCGAGAACAAAAGATGCCTCAGAGTGAGCTCACGAACCGACGTTTCGAGCACTCCGCCCCAAGACGACCCCCGAGACCGCCAGCAGGTCCCTGATGAGCCCCCAAGAAACTCCAGGAGGCCGACAAGAGGTCCAAAAGGCCTCTGACCTACAACAGCAGCACTGTGTCGGAATGGGCCAAAGGCCACTATGATACCCGAAACGGCCCCACGAGGGCCACGTGATTGGCCCACATGCTTGCCCCTCACACACATGTCCAGACAACATCTTCCATCACTCTAGAACTGGGACTATTTGGGACCCACAAAGAGGGCAGAAAATACCACACCAAACCTAAACAAGGCCACCAAGAGGCTGCGAAAGCGGGCCCAACACTGGGGCGATGGCCAGAAGTCTTCCCCTAACGTCCTGCCTCTTTTCCCCAATCCATGTGTCGTCCGGCAACTCCTGAGCATCGCATCTCTCTTCGTCCTCCTTGCGCTGTACTGTACTCGGGCAACCAGGAGGTCGGCTGAATGACATGACCCTCTGGAACCAGTGCGGAGGAGAGATGAGGCAGCAAGAGCAGGAGGAGGGAGGGATGAGGGAGAGAAGGATGAGAGAGGGATGAGGGCAAGCTAGGTGCGCTCGCGTCATATCTGACGTCCTACCCCTCCCTCCCATCCCTTACCATGGCGCTGATTTTCTCTATCCGCGGACGCGTGTCGTAGCGGACCTGTGGCTCCGCGCGCGCGTGCGTAGTGGGTGGTGGTGCGCGTGCGTGCGTGCGTGCGTGTGTGCGTGGTTGTGGTGGTGGTGGTGGTGGTGCTGGTGGTGGTGGTGGTGGTGGTGGTGGTGTGGTGGTGGTGGGTGGTGGGTGGTGGTGGTGGTGGTGGTGGTGCGGCGCGGTGGTGGCGGGCGGATGGGCGCGCGAGAAAGAGGCCCGCGCTGGGGCGAGAACGCCATCCTAAACGACGGAGGCCAAACACCGACCCGAAAATGAGGCCCACGCTGCAGCGGGAGCACGATTCGGAACGATTCGGGAGCAGAAATGAGGCCGGCGCCTCAGCGAGAGCAGCATTTTGAAAGAAAAACAGGCGAAAACCCGTTTCCCGGGAATCCTGTGTGTAAAAAAACAGTACGCGGGGGGGGGTCGGATATCTTCGGGACGCCATCAGGGGAAGTGGGAGAGTATTTTCATATTGCGTAATTGTAAAGGGAAGGGGGCAGCAAAACCAAAACGGAGGGAGCAGAGAGGGAGGGATTTGTTTTACATGGCCAATCCCCTGCCATCAAGATCACTCGAAAGCAAGGACATCGCAGATGGAGGGAGGGATGAGAGAGAAACGCGGGGACAGGGAAGGCTCATGGATAGAGGGGGAGCGGAGAGAGGGATGGAGTAGGGAGGATGAGAGCAAGAGGAAACGAGGAGGGGGAAAGAGGAAGGGAGGGATAATGCATGAGAGAGAGGAGGATTGCAAGGAGAGGGATAGAAGGGAGGATAAATGGGGGGCGGGGGGTATGATCTTGATTATCACACATCCTGATCCGTGGTCGCCCACTGCGCCATCGCCCAAGACAAGTGCGACAAGCTATGCGCACTGAACGTGTCCATCTTCTTGATGCACTCGCTCCCGAGGGTGCTCACGAGCACGTCGTTCCACAAACTGCACTTCGCGAAGGCCCACGAGGTCTGCGAAAGATGGCTGGACTCGAAAGCACTGATCTTGTCCACCACCTCTGCAGGAGGAACAGCAACAAGAACTGGAATCGCTGGGGGGGCGGCAATCAACCACATGCGCCGGTACTGATCAGGCCAACGACCAACCCTGGGTTCGGGTCGATGATGGGTGTATGACGCCTACCTGGCGAAGCAAAAAGGCGATCAACCGATCATGGGCCGAAAATGGTGGACCTGACCAAAGCCGGTTGCCATGACGAAGATGCTGTTTTGGTCCTCCAAGTCTGCACTGGAAAAGTCTCTGCGGAAACCATGAAGATTTAGCTATACATCCGGCCGATGTCGGTAGGCGGCTGGGTTCCCGGGCTCCCAGTTTCCCTTATCAATGAAGACTTGGTGAAAATGGCGGACTGCTCAGGGCAATCGACATATGCCCTGGGCTTCCGCCTATGTGCAGCCGGTTAAGTCTGTGGGCGGCCAGGTTCCCTGGTGCTTGTTTTCCCGAGTGTGCAACCGAATTTGGTGGGCGGCCAGTATGTCGGGATTCACATGCTCAGTTAGCGAAGCACACGAGTAGAGTCGCCAGCGCAGCGCATCGGTCCAATGGCGTACCAGATTTTCCACTCAGGAAACGTCGGGGAGAACAAAATATATACCTGGAGTTTTTTCATGGCCCTATCCATTGAGGCCTCCAGAACGGGGTCCGAACCGATGGTGCCGGAGGGTCGCTCCGCATCGCCGATGCATCGGCGCATAAAATGACGACTTCAACATCGAACCGCATCGCCGTTGTGGCGTGAAAATCCGACCCCACCTATTCGGACCTCATTGGGAAACCCTGGGTCTTTCCCCCCTCTAGAAAACGCTCCTTAAAGTGGTTGCTCCACTTCTGCCCCGACCGGTGGCCGTGCATGGCAGCTGCGCGCGTCGGTCACCGTGCATTTTGATGCACCGCGCCGCACGGGCAACTCCCCAACGTCTGACGGGGTAGGGGCACGGAAGTGATGCCTTCCGCGCCCGTGTGGGCGGACAGCGGGGGGGCCTGCACTCGTGCGCGCGCTACTGTGACCAGAGGTTTTGATACCTCATGGATGTTCTCTGCTTATCCACGCTTGGGGGGAGAATTTGGGACAACAGCTACCAAGCGGAGGTGGGAGGGAACGGGACAACACAAAAGTCGATAATACATGCTGTCGAAGGTAAAAGAGGGCAGAAAGTAAAGGGTGAGAAGGGGGCACAGGAGGGGGAAAAACGGGAGGAGGAGGCGTAGAGAAAGGACGAGGGGCCTACAAGAGGAAGGGAGAGGGGCAATGTTCTTCCTGTGCGCGATTGGCGAACTGGCCCCCTCTCCATTTTGGGAAATGAAGCCCGCCGTGGAACCATCCAACATTTTCAGAGGAGCTGGTTCTGAACACCGTGCGCACGCATGCACTTTTGCGCTGAAGAGAAATAGCCAGTTCAGAACAGTCCGACGGGGGAGAGGGCGAGGACGGGTCGAAGGAAGAGGGGCGGCGACGGGAGGGGAAAGAGGGCGATGGGCCCGGGGGGGAGGGAGCGGTCTTCCTCCCCCCCCTCCGCCTCCGCCTCCTCCTCCTCCTCCCGAAGCACACTCGATGTAAGCCTCGGCGGTGTGGGTGTTTTTTTCCAGCTGAAGCAAGGCGCCGACAAACACTGCTCGTGAAGGGTCGCAGCCTGCGCCTTCTGGGCTGCGTCTTTCCAGGAGAGGCAAGGCGCCGACAAAACTGCACGCGAACGGTTGCAGCCTGCGCCTGCTGCGCATGGGCGGGCTGCGCGCTCTGATTTGGCGACTTCATGCATGCAGTCTCTTTTCCTGCGAACAGACTGGCCAAACTCCTGGAACAGGTCTTTGCCTGACCTCCGCAAGCGCCACGCCCAAGCCCACAAGTGCGAGCGACAACGCTCCCAGTCTGAAGTGCGGACGCTGCCTGCCTAAGAAGTGTGCGGGGCATTTTGTCTGTCGCTTCCGCCGACGCCATCCGCTGCTCTAACTGGGTGGCCACGTCTCCTATTTGTTTGGCCTGTCTGGGTTCATTGCCAGGATCATCTTGGCCGGCAGAGTCGCCGCAGTAACCGCTGAAAACCACTTGTAGATCTTTGGTATGCTGGTAACACATCGCATTTCCTAAGCCCCATGAACACATCCTCTGGGTTCCACTCATTGGACATTTGCATTGAGTCAGGTTGTGCCACATGTCTTCATTAGTTGACGCACAATTTTCAGCTATGTCAAACTATCCTATGTCATCATCCTCGTTGTTTTACTAGCCTGGCTTCAGCGTCTTCGGATGCGGTTGACCTGCCGTTGAATACCCTGGGCGCGTCGTCGTCGTTTTCATCATGCAGGGCGCCGTGCATGGTCTCCAGCTTGTCGCCTAGATGGGTAAACGTCCTCCAGCACTGGGCTCACTTGCGCCAACACATTCATATAACTCGTCGCTCCACTCGCGGAACGTGGCTAAATCATCGGCGAACATGTTAAGCTGCTGCGTGGCTCTATATTCGCTAACCGGTTGCTGCCGTCCTCCCGTGTGGCTTCTCCCCTCTGCTATAGATTCAGTTCTATTCGTAACGTTATCCATCGTGTTTTTCCGCACGTTCCTTTGGCTTTCAAGGTTGTCGATCCTTAAGTGAAGCTTCCTACTCTCCCCTTATGCGTACATGTTGCAGCTCACGATGCTGAGGAGCAAGGGGTTCAGCTTCTGGGTCATGAATGAGAGTCCGTACCCCTCCTCGTTCGTGAGTGTCCTCACTCTGGCCGTCAATTGTTGTTCAGTGAACTCTTTCATTCTTTTATGGTTGCCCCCCAGCGCCACTTTGACGTAACCGTAGTCCCCCCATAGTATGCCGCTTCACATAACTCATTGACCCTCGCTGGGTTCAGGCTAAGCCATTGGTCTCGGTCCTGAGGCGTGCTTAACTCCGGGGGTGGGTCTCCAGGATGAGCGCGTGTTGCTGCCGCTGCCGTTGCGGCTGCCATTAACCTCGATCCGCTACTACGCAAATTCCTGAGAAGGATTCGCACGGGAACGACTCAATGGTAACAGGAGATCTGTTGTCACAGCGTGCCCCTGCGGGCGCTCCACTGATGGGTAGCTTGGGGCCAAAACAGCGTCGGTAACGACAGCTGCTCGACTAACATCTATCACTACTCACCCTAACGCAGGGAAATGTTCTAACACCTTCGTCACCTCCTCCTCCTCCTCCTCCTGCCCCTCCTCCCTCTCCTCCTCCTCCTCCTGCTCCTGCTCCTGCTCCTGCTCCCGCTCCTCCTCCTCCTCCTCCTCCTCCCCTCATCCTCCTGCTCCTGCTCTTCCTCCTTTTCGTCCTTCTCTTCATCCTCCTCCGTCTCCTCCAGCTTGTCCTGGACGGGAGGGGGCTTGAGGACAGAGCGGGGCCTCCGAAGCCAGCACAGGCATCAGGTTCTCGCTGCGCACGTTCATCGGGGCGAGGTTCGCGAAACCGACGACGAGGTTCGAGATGCCATGCGGGGACAGCCTGGTTCCCTGTCTTCATCCCCCCATTTCTCATCCACTTCCTCCACTTCCTCCCCTCTGTTCCTCCTCCTCCTCCTCCTCCTCCTCCTCTCTCCTCATCCTCCTCCTCCTCCTCCTCCTCCTCCTCCTCCATCCGTTTTCAATGTACATAACCTCGCCCTTTCGCAAAACCATATGTGCCAGAAGGGCGGATGGAAGGCGAGCCGTTTGGGGTTCCTGCCGATGCGCGCCGCGCAATCGGGTCAACGGCTCCCGATAGCTACACGGCATGGAGAGCGGCTGACTTTTCGAAGGAGGCATCGCTTCAGCTTCGCTCTATGTTACGACCACCAGTCCAACGGCTTCTGACAGCCACACCGTCGGAGGGCGGCTCGAGTCTCAAAAGGAGGCGTCGCGTCGAGCTTCGCTCTGTGTTAGGACCAGCCGTCACAGACCGTGCCGCAGCCACGTGGGCAACGTGGTGCCCCCATCTTCGGGGTGGGGCCGACGCTGGACGCCCGCTTGAAAGCTGTGACCCCCGCACAGTGTCAGCCTTCCTACCTCGACGGGTGGGGGGCAGCTTCTCTCAGACAAGAGCTCTCGCCCGACCTTCGGGCCCATGGAGCGCTGGTCTTTCGGGGGGGGGGGGGGGGCGGGCGTTTCGCGCAATGAACAAGATGCAGGCAAGGACTGATGAGGAGGAGATTGGAACGGGAGGGAGTGTTGCATCATCGTTGGTGCATCTTGGGTTTACTCTTGTCGTCGTGCTCCTCCTCCTCACCATCCCTCTCCTGATCATTGTTCCTTGTCCTCATCCTGCTTGCTCCTCCGCCTCCGCCTTCATTTCTCCCCTCTGTCCACCTCCACCAAACCTCTCACATCCCTCCTTCTCTTGTTCTGCGAGCAAAGGCCTCAAGACATCTTAATGCCAACAACTCGACACAAGAAAGCACATGTGATCCAACGACGACGCAGAATGAAGAAAGGAGGCACGGTCCGCTGCCGCTCCAAACCAGGGGCTCGTAATGGTGCCTGCCGGCCATCTCTCTCCTACATCGATAGCCCAAGCAGCGCGATGTGGTCGCCGTCGAGGAGATCCCCATCCGTCTGGATGACGACGTTAGCCAAATTCGCTGGGTATCCCTGGAAATGTTGGCCAGGCCGTATGCAACCTTGTTGTAGGTTGGTGCCTGCCGGCCATCTCTCTCCTACATCGATCGCCCAAGCGGCGCGATGTGGTCGCCGTCGAGGAAATCCCCATCCGTCTGGATGACGACGTTAGCCGGGTTCGCTGGGTATCCCTAGAAGTCTTGGCCAGGCCGTATGCAACCTTGTTGTGGATTCGCCTCCACCATTGCACGGGATCTTGGCTAACGCTCGAACGGGCCCATCCACGGCCAACATGATTCACCATCTGGTACAGCACTTGTGGCAGAACTGTTTCGTTCAGCTGGCACAGCGATTTCGCACCACCACATACCACCTCCTGCAACACTTTGCAGCCCGCCGCGGAGAGAAGGTGCACCTGCGCAGATGCCTGGGCCGTGTGAAGCGATGTGTTGCTGAGAAGCTCGTCGGGGCCTGGCACGCGGCCTCGGGAGATCAGCCCTTCGTCCTGTCCCGCAGCCTGCCCGCAGACGCCTGGCCAGAGGCACCTGCCGCTCGCCGTCGTCGCAAAGCGGCAGGTGCTGGCGAACGGCGCAGCCCCTTCACTGCGAGCGGCGGCAGGGCGGCGGGTGCCAGCACGTGAGAGACTGCCAGAGGAAAGCACGACAATGCAGCGCCACTGCTTCAGCGGCACCAGGGCTGCGCTGCCGAGGCCGTACAGCAGCGCGGACGAAGCCACCAGGCTGATCGTCGGCCCCTCCACTCGAACCATGCAGTCGCATCCTCGTCCTGTCGCCAACTTTTACCTGTGCCGTGCACGATCGGACCTTTCTGAGTCCTGTCGAACGCGGCCGCCTCGCAGGAACCCTTCCAGCCTTCGCCGATCGGCCAAGACATCTCCACTAGCCGCCTAAACGCTCCCAGAGTCGCATTCGCGTGTCAGGCTGGCCTCCTCATCCTCCTCATCCTGCTCTCCTGTTCTCCTCCTCCTCCTTCGCCACTGTTTCCCCTCGTCCGCCTCCCCTCCATCCTCCTCCTTCTCCCCCTCCTGCTCCGACTCCTACCGCGAGGGTCGGAACGCCATGGTGGGATAGCCTGCTCGCGTCGTTGGAGGCAGCGCAGGCCAGCAGCTGGAGAACGTCCTTGGGGGATGGGAAGGGGAGCAGTTAAGACTCGTCCTCCTCGTCCATCCTCCACCTCCACCTCCACCTCCTCCTCCTCCTCCTCCTCCTCCTCCTCATCCTCCTCCTCGTCCTTCACTCCGCCTCCTCATCATTCGGCTCCTGCTGCTCCTCCTGCTGTCCTCCTCCTCCTCCTCCTCCTCCTCCTCCTCCGCCTCTTCCTCCTCCTCCTCCTCCTCCTCCTCCTCCATCTCCACCTCCTCCTCCTCCTCCTCCTGCTCCTCCTTTTTCAATTCCGTTGTTGTTGTCGGTTCCCCCCACCGCACGGTGCATGACCAGCAAGCGATCGAGGAGAAGAAGGGGGAGGAACAACACAAGAACCTGGGAAGTGGAGGATCGCAAGCTATTGCCAGCTATGTGGGCAGTTTGCCGAGCAAAGAGCACCGATCCTAGCACAGCAGGGGATGTGAAGCGTGCCCGCCCGAATCAGGAAACGTTGGGGAAGAGAGGGAGCATGGGAAAAGGAGCCAGAATGGCGCGTCCTTGGAACTCGCCCTTAAATGAGCGCCTCGAGGCTTGCAGCACCACCTTTTGCGAGGTACCCATAATACCATTGCGCCGAAGGCCCCCGCTGAAAGCGCATGCCCTTCAGTCGTGGCAGGATAGAACTTTGTTGGGGGCCCCGGCCTCTCCCAATAAGCCGATGCTGAAGACGTGGCCCTGCTCGAACGACCGATCGGAGCGGATCGACTCTGCAGGATGAAACGTCGTGCCCCTGAGCGCCGTATGCACCCCCACCCCCTCCGCCCCTGCGGGGCCGCAAGGATGGAGCTTCAATCTCAAAACAGCTACTGGCCCGCCCTGGCCGGCGGTCAAAACCACGTATGCCCCAGCCTTTCACCCTGAGAGCGACCGAAGGAAGGATGGAAACTCGAGAAGCAGAGGGAGGCGCCACTACGGCAACCGCTACGGCGGCACTCCCCAGGAGGAAAAGAAAAGTTGCCCTGCCGAGGGGTAGCTCACAACATGGTGCTGGGCCCGTAGACTGAGACAGGCAGGTGACGCCTTGTGACCAAAAAGTGCGAATTGCGCAAGGTCAGATAAGGTGCCGAGCATAACATGCTATAGCAATGCAACACCTGGCACGGAAAACGAAGAGTCCGCTTTGGTGCAGCGCGGTTTCTCCTGAAATGCGATGCAGCCATGATGCAAGACGACGACGGGCGGGTGTCGCAATGCTGCTGGGCTGCATCACATACTTTGGCTGCACGAGAACCCTACGCCGACACGCGACGCCAACTGATAATACCAGCGGCACGATCCTACGCATATCAATTCACATGAACACACTGACTGGCCTATGGCTATCAGGAGCACGGCTGATCCGGAAAAGGAAATGAAAACACGAGGATGGGTCGTACACGCATGTGTATATACAGATCTCTTACAAGTGGCTGAATCGAGAAAAAAAACCTGACGAAAGACCCAACCATATGCTGCTGCGAGTACCGCGAGGGAGAGGGGACGAAGGAGGAGGGGCAGCAAAAGGGACTGCGGCGTGCATGAGGGGGAGAAATGCTGACGCGGGCGAGCGGGGAATCTGCTTGGTTTCGCCCGAGCCACGTGCGCGGCCCTTGCCATGCGGACGCTCCCGCTGGGGCCTTCGGTGGAACTCCCTCTGGGGCCACGAAACGTGTGAAGGGTGCGCCGAGATGGGGCGACGGTGCCATGCGGACGCCCCAACTGGGGCCTCTGGTGGAGCTCCCCATGGGGGCCAAGGAACGTGTAAGGGGTGTGCCAAAATGGAGCGGCGGTGCCTTGCGGACGCTCCCGCTAGGGTCTTCGGCGGAGCTCCCCATGGGGCCACGAACCGTGTCAAGGGCGTGGCAAAATGTGGCAGCGGTGCAATGCGGACGCTCCCGCTGGGGTCTTCGGCGGAGCTCCCTACGGGGCCACGAACCGTGTGAGAAGTTTGCCAAACTGAAGCGGCGGTGCCATGCGGACGCTCCCGCTGGGGCCTTCGGTGGAACTCCTATGGGGCCATGAACCGTGTGAAAAGTGTGCCGAAATGGGGCGGCGATGCCATGCGGACACTCCCGCTGGGGCCTTAGGTGGAACTCCCTATGGGGCCGCGAACCGTGCCATGCGGACGCGCCCGCTGGGGCCTTCGGTGGAGCTCCTGATGAAACCACGAACCGTGTGAGGGGTGCGCCAAAATGAGGCGGCGGTGCCATGCGGACGCTCTCGCTGGGGCCTTCGGTGAGCTCCTGATGAGGCCACGAACCGTGTGAGGGGTGTGCCAAAAAGGGGCGGCGGTGCCATGCGGACGCTCCCGCTGGGGCCTTCGGTGGAGCTCCCTATGGGGCCACGAACCGTTTAAAGGGTGTGCCAAAATGAGGTGGCGGTGCCATGCGGACGCTCCCGCTGGGGCCTCCTGATGAGGCCACGAACCGTGTGAGGGGTGTGCCAAAAAGGGGCGGCGGTGCCATGCGGAAGCTTCCGCCGAGGCCTTTGGTGGAGCTCCCCATGGGGCCACGAGCCTTGTGGAACATGTGCCAAAATGGGGCGTCGGTGACGCATCAAACCGCTGCCACTTTGGCCTTCGGTGGAGCTCCATGTGGTGCCACGGACCGTGTGAGGGGCGCGGCGCTGACGATGGCGATGGTGATGATCATGATGATGCGGATCATGACGATGGCGATGATGATGACGATGATGTAGATGACGATGACGATGACGAGGCGGATGGAGGGAGGAGGGGGAGGAGGGAGGGGGCAGCGGGATGTGAGGTGAGGTGACGCGGGGCGCTGTCTCTTCAAATCGAGGACCCAACACCACAGGATGGTTGAGTTTCGTTTGCGAGTGAAGTCGTGCGACCCAAAATTAGCGTGCCTCTGAATCATTGACCTGCTGTGTATCAACGCCATATGCGGGCCCCAGATGTTGAAGACGGAAGCGAGGACCTTGATTGTAATAGATAAGGGGTTTAGCTGGCTTCGCGAGCTAACTCGCAGACAAACCAACCGCTCATACTACAAAAACAAAACTGCGCTTTCAACTATTTGCGGGGGGGCCACGCTATAGGAACCCGGCCGGCTAGTTGAGAAGAACAGGAAGGGGGAAGCCGGATGGGCCTCGCCTAGGTGGCTGACTTTGCCAACACATCTCACTCAAGAGATAGGGTCTCCAGCCCCTCCCAAGCCATGACTCTGAGTCAGGGGCGCAACGGGCGGAGTAGCAACCCCCAGAACGAACAACATGCGATACGTCAGGCATGATCAACAAAAATAGTGCACGTTGGGAAACCATTTCACGCAGGTGCACGCGGCGAGGAGTGTAGCGCCAGCCCTGCCAAACTGACCCCCCTGAAGAATCTATGTGTGGAAATCGCCTCTGATGCGTTGGCGTCTATCTGCGGCTGAGGCGAAGAAGGCACAGAGATAAAGTTCATGACTCCGAGAGGGGTTGACAAGGGCACGCTTGCTGGATAGAACGGTAATGTTGAGGAAGAAGAACATCAGAGAAAAGCGCGCGCTATAGCGAGGAGACTGGTGAGGGGAGGCGAACAAACAGGCCACGCCATCAACAAGGCAATGCGAGGCCACAAATTCGTCCCGTGGGACATGGCAGGTACCTGCCATACCTATCGCTGCGCGAGGGGGCCAAAGGACCTCTGCGCCGATCAGCGGCAAGGGTTATATGGCAAGATCCCTTGGGATGCAGCAGAGATTTCGCCGCTCGATCCCTTCATCTTACTGGCGGGGAATGTCAAGCCACGCGTCACTTATAGTAGCTGCAAAGGTTGGCGCTGATGCGTACCATTGCGGCGACGATGAGGAAGACTGCGTGCTTTCAGCCGAACTACGACGTGGATTTGCTCTCGCACGCTTGGCCATGTACCAACGCGCCTGCAGGTCGAACAAAATGAGGCGCTCGGTGAGGTACTCCCAGAAAAGGCCATCACGAACGCACGGGAGAAGGTAGAGGTGCAGGCCAGGAGGGACGGGCGGCGGGGCGGACTCAACCTTCTCAGCGGGGTCCCTGTGCGTTGGGCTCATAGCAGCAGACCCGGGGGTAAAGCAGGAGCGAGAGAAACTGAGGGCAACTCCCATCAGCCCTTTTAAGGCGCAGGTGGTTTACAACGCTTGCTGTTCCGACCCCTTTCCTCCCCTTCAGGGAGGGGTTTAGCTGCTCCTGGTTGTTAAAAACTTCCTCCCCACCCGACCGGGGACAAACCAGGGACGGTACCACCCTCCTCCACCACCATGCCAAAATCAAGACGACATACAATTTGGAACAAAAACTTTGACCATACGCGGGTGCCCCGCGCTCAGTGTGTACGGTTTATTGTCCCAACCATCCTGTGGTGTTGGGTTCACATTTTGAAGAGACAGCTCCCCGCGTCGTTCCTCATCCTCCTTCTCCTCCTCCTCCTCCTCCTCTCCTCACTTTCTCCCTCCTCCCATCCTTGCCTCTGATCTCCGCATGTTTCTGTTTCTGCACACCCCTCGCACGTTTCGCGGTCCCAAGGGAGCTCTACCTAAGGCTCCAGTGGCGACGTTCGCATGCGTCCCCGCTGCGTTCGCGTGCGTCCCCCCCGCGCATTTCGCCACAACCCTCACACTTGTCGTGGCCTTACTGGCGACGTTCGCATCCGTCCCCGCCGCACATGTCGGCGCAGCCCTCACACCATTCGTGGCCCAATAGGGAGTTCAACCTAAGGCTCCAATGGCGACGTTCGCATGCGTCCCCGCCGCACACCCCTCACAAGTTTCGCGGCCCCGTGGGGAGCTCCACCTAAGGCCCCAGTGCGGAGGTTCGCATGCGTCCCCACCGCACATTTCGGCACACCCCTCGCACGCGTCGTGGCCCCATGGGAGAATTCCACCGAAGCCCCAGTGGTGACATTCGCATGCGTCCCCGCCGCACATTTCGGCACACCCCTCACACGTTTCGTGGCCCCATGATGAGCTTCACCGACAGCTCCAGTGACGACGCTCGCATGCGGCCCCACCGCACATTTCGGCACAATCCCCACAGGGATTCTTGATTCGCAGCCGCGTCTTCTTGATTCGCAGCCGCGCCTCCGGCAGCGGAACTTGCTGTTTCACTTATTTGCCAACGCACCCCTGACGTGCACGGCGCTTCGTTCGTTCGTTCGTTCGTTCCCCACAGGGACCCACTCTTCGTGGCCCCATAGGGAACTCTGCCTGAGGCCTCAATGGCGATGTTCGCATGCGTCCCCGCCGCACAGTTCGGCACACTCCTCACACGCTTCGTGGCCCCATAGGGAGCTCCTCCGGAGATAGCGAAAGGAGGGGAGAACACGCACGGACGGGTGGGGAGGGAACAGAAGGAGGGGGTAGACCAGCAGATGGGGCGGGGACGGGCAGGACATCGGGGTGGAGAGGAAACAGATGTGTCTGGGGGAGAGGGCAAGCTGGGCGCGCTCGCGCTATATTGCAGACATCCTAGCCCTCCCACCCGTCTCTTCCGACTGCGCCGACTTTTCTCCATCCACCGACGGGTGTCGTAGCTGACCTGGAACTCCCCAAGTGAGCCCATCGTGCTGTGCTATGTGCGCAATCGCACAAGAACTGAGTACATTGGATGAGGAGGAGGCGGATGAGCAGGAGGATGAGCAGGAGGATGAGCAGGAGGACGAGGAGCACCAGCAGCAGCAACGGGAGTGGGAGGAGCGGGGGGAGCAGGATGACCAGGGGAAGGAGGGGAAGGGAGAAGGAGCGGGGCGACAACGATGTGAGAAGGACTCGGATTCTGAAAAGTTGACTGCACTGGGGCGAGAGCGCCATTCTGAACGACGGGAGCGAGGCGCCGATCCAAAAAATGAGGCCCGCGCTGCGATGGGAGGATCAATTCGAGAGGCCCAAAGCGACCCAGTAATAACAAAACATGTGGAAGACCAACTTCTGGAATGCTGTGGCAAAGAATGCACGGACAAGGCACACTGCCCACTGGACGTCTTTGGGGGAGAGCGGAGAGTGGCACCCGTATGGAGAAATGGTGATGTGGCACCAGCGGGAAGCGGTAGGGAGGCGGAGGGGGGGAAGAAACAGCAGGAGCATCAGCAGGAGCAGAAGGATGAGGCATCGAGGAGGTCCAGATGACTCCTCTGAGAGGATGAGCAGTAAGCACGGGGTCCGTCCGACTGCTGCTGCTCATCCTGCTCCCCCCCTCCTCCATCTCCACTTCCTCCCCGACTCCTCCCTCGTCACTTCCGCCTCCGCCTCCTCCTCTTCCTCCTTCTCTTCCTACTCCTTGAGGCTCAGCGTTGAAGGAGTAAAAGTCGAGTTGCAAGTTAGGCGTCGTGCCGAAGGGGTCAGCATCGACCCGGCTCAGCATGGTAAACTGAGAGTTGATCGCATCCGATGCAGCAAGGTAGCCTCCTGACCCCCATGGATCGGAGGATGATGCGTATGAGGGAAGTTACGTTTCTGAGGCTTCATTGTTCTTTGGAGGGGGGCTCGGATCCTGGAGGCTTCGGGCTTCGGGGCTCCGTGCAGATCGCACGGAGCAGGGGCAACTTGAAGACGTCCACGGGGTCTGAACTGGCTGAGCCCCAGACCCCCCCCTCCTTTCTCTCCGGAACTAGAGTTGGGCCACCTCACCCCCAGCCGACTCCAAGGGGCAACGCTCCTCAAACGCTCGCTCCCTGGAGTCTGCGCTGGATGCGCCCAGGTGGCTTCACTTCGCGCACCGCGAGGCGCGGTGCCGGGTCATCTTCGCACCCTGGCGTACGGCAAGTTCGCGTCGTGTCGACCGCGGCGTTGGTTCCTGACACCGCGGGGATCGCTCAGCCTTGAAAGATCGGCCGTTTCCGAAACGCCTGATCTTTCAACGATGGGCCGATTCTGGGCCACGGGAGGCGTTTAGCCTTCACTGCCCGCGCTAAGGTCGCCTCGACCCTTCCATCGACGCATCGCCGCCGTCGTCGTCGTCGTCGTCGTCGTCGTCGTCGTCGTCGTCGTCGTCGTTGGAACCCGCGCTGGGGTCGCCGCCGACCAACACGGCGCGGACCCACCGTGGCCCTCCTGGAGAGCAGTGACTCTCCATGCAGGCCGTGGAGCGCGACCGCTTTTGCGCCCCTGCAGGTGACCCCGTGAACACATGGCTCACAAGGGGGCTTTGAAGAGCGATACTTGCCGTCGCTCGGACGTCCATTTCCCGTGCATTTTTCGGTTTCGTGCGTGTTTTTTTTTGCTCGATGGTCCAGGATGGTCCTCGATGGTTCTCGCCGAGAAACAATGCACACGTCCGAGCGATGCCAAGGATAGAGGAGCAGGATCAGGGTCGGCTGGGCGAGGATGAGGAGGATGAGGAGGAGGAGGAGGAGGAGGAGAGCGGTCGCCTTCGCGACCCTGCAGGTGACCCAGTGAACACATGGCTCAGAGCATCGTTTAAGCGATCCCTATCCCACTGGCGTGGCCTGGGCCCCGCTGGCCGACTTTCCACCCTAGACGGGGATGCAGGCTGTTCCCCTTGGGTTTCGAGGGGCATATCCCCAACGGGGGTGGTGGAACGGTGGAGATCGGGATGGAGGTGGGGATCGGGATCGGCGAAACGATACTGAGGCTCACAGGGGGCTCAGAAGAGCGATAGAGGAGCAGAATCAGGGTCAGTTGGGCGAGGATGGCGAGGAAGAAGAGCAGAGCGAGCTAGAGGATATGGTACCCTCCCCCGAATCCTGCACCGTCTGCGAAGGACTTAGCTTTCCTAGAGTGTAGAGCTTGCCCAGCACGTACGTCAGATCACCAAGCTCATCGGGCTTCAGCATTGCATCAGGTCTGCTCAGCTCAACCTTGAGACTGTGGATTATCTCGGAGCAGTGCTGCGCGCTGGGGCACGTGTCCCTGCGAAGCTCCATGAGCTGCCTGGTGAAGATCGCGATGCGGGTCGCGGACTCCTCGCCAGTCTGGCCCTGGCCCTGTCCGCTCGCATCCGGCGCCTCCACGGCCTCCTCCACGGGCTCGCCACCGGCCCGAGCACCCGACTCCTCGCCGAGCGACTGCCGGCCACCCCAGCGAGAGCCCAGGTCACCATCGTGCGCCCTGTCGCGCCTGTCGCGCGCTCGCTTGCCGCCTCAATGGATCGGAACCCGCCCGGGAGTATTCGGGCACAGCCAAAGGACCACAACCACAACTAAATCCCAACAGCCCTTTGGGCGACAGGTGGTCTAACGAGGGTCTCGCTCCTCTTCCACAAGCCCCCTTCCCTTCGGGGAGGGGAACCCTCTCCCTCCCCTCCCTGAGATTTTTTTGGAGGGAGTCGCGATATGTCGGAGGCCCCTTGTTCTGCCAGTGGGAAGGCCATGTTTTGCCACCGCTCACGAGGATCCTGGCCCCCGAGAGGGGGGGGACGCAAATCTACGATCCCCACTCGTTTGACCGACCGCCTCCAAAATGGCCCCAAGAGACCCTGCAGGGCTCCCGAGAGGCCCCCAAGAGGGCCCAAAGAGCGCTCCAAAAAGCCCCAAGAGGCCTCCAATAAGCATCCGAGAGGCCCCCAAGAGGCCCCCAAGCGGCCCCCGAGGGGCCTCAGAGAGCCCAAGATGACCTTCAAGATGGCTCAAGACAGCCCAAGCTAGCTCCAGATGGCTTCCAAGATGCGCCAAGAAGCCACAAGACCGCTCCAAGACTGCTCAAGATGGCCACGGAGCCTCCCCAGCATGCTTGAGATGCCGAAATCATTCAAAAACGTCGCGAAAAACAATGGATCTGACATTCTCGCCTTTTTGCTTTCGATGGCCTTCCGGGGCCTCAAGATGGCTCCAAGATGGATCAAGAGGGCCCCAAGAGAGGCCCAAGACAGCCCCAAAACGGCCCCAAGAGCGCCCAAGAGCGCCTCGAGAGCGCTCCAAGAGGGACCCAAGAGGCAATCCCACCAGCCCTTTGGGCGACAGGTGGTCCAACGAGGGTCCCTTTCCTCTTCCACAACCCCGCTTCCCTTCGGGGCGGGGGACCCCCCCCTCCCCTCCTTGAGGTTTTTTTTGTGTTGGAAAGGGCCGCGACGTGTCAGACCGGCCTTTTTCGGCCCCTGGGAGGGCGAGTGGGGATAATTTTTTGTTCGGCGGCTCCAAAGACAGCTCCAGGGAGCGGGATTGTCGTCTGGGGCACAGAGCGAGATAATTGGCTGCAGTGGCACGTAGGCCGCTGAAGCGAGTGCACATGCCAGGGACAAAGTGACCCTCATCGGGGACCAACGCAGGCAGCCCAGCGGATGGGGACGCGAGCGTGGTACCGGCGGCGGCCAAATAGGAGCAGTCGCCCTTACGGCGCCAAGCTCCAGCCGAACCACACAGCACGAAAAGGCGCGGAGCGACAGACCGCACTGTAGCGGCAAGGGGTGGCCACAACGAGACCGAACTCCGGCCAAGACGCACGGAAGGCGGGCAAGAGGGAGCGGGAGAGCCGCAGCGGATGCCAGACGGACACCCAGCGGCAAGAAAAAGGGGAAAGGGACATAGAGGGGCTTCACTCGCGATGACTCACTGTCGCAGACGTCAAGTCTGCCGCTCTTGAACGCGAGAGCGAGAGGCACCCAGGCAGCGAACCTGACGTCAAAGCCGCCTGAATCCACAGCGTGCAACATATCCGAAACGGAAGATCGGGGGCACAAAGTTGAACGCGTTGACCGAGGCACCTGCGTGAAGGACCAGCCGGGGGAACCGTGATGACCTGCCATAGAATGGACCACTTGTGCAGGAACGCGCCCATGCCAGGCCGGCGTCGGGTGGTACCAGAAGCGGGTGGGGTGCGCCACTCTTCACCTTACGCGAAGTCAAGCCCCTGTAGCGCCCTGAAACGTACCATGTGGACCAGGGCGACCCGCAGGAAGGGGTGGCCCTGCTAGCCGCTGAGGCGGTGACGAGGGGGAGGGGTTGAAACCACTCCCACGCGTCCTCACGACAGCGTGCTCAGCTGGCGGCCAGCCGATGCTCCACGACATATCCGTCCAGAGCGTCTGGGGGAAATCACTGCTGTGGTGTCTGTCGCAGGCGGGCCCTGTGCGCCGTGCGGAGCACCCACATGTCGGCTGGCACGGCTGGAGGCGAGAATCTAGGCCATTGTGTGACCCGCAGGGGTGGCTGAAACTGCCAGCCCTCCTGTCTTGATGTCCCTGCGAGTGGGGATACTTTTTTGTTCGGCGGCTCCAAGGACAGCTCCAGGGAGCGGGATTGTCGTCTGGGGCACAGAGCGAGATAATTGGCTGCAGTGGCACGTAGGCCGCTGAAGCGAGTGCACATGCCAGGGACAAAGTGACCCTCATCGGGGACCAACGCAGGCAGCCCAGCGGATGGGGACGCGAGCGTGGTACCGGCGGCGGCCTAATAGGAGCAGTCGCCCTTACGGCGCCAAGCTCCAGCCGAACCACACAGCACGAAAAGGCGCGGAGCGACAGACCGCACTGTAGCGGCACGGGGTGGCCACAACGAGACCGAACTCCGGCCAAGACGCACGGAAGGCGGGCAAGAGGGAGCGGGAGAGCCGCAGCGGATGCCAGACGGACACCCAGCGGCAAGAAAAAGGGGAAAGGGACATAGAGGGGCCTCACTCGCGATGACTCACTGTCGCAGACGTCAAGTCTGCCGCTCTTGAACGCGAGAGCGAGAGGTACCCAGGCAACGAACCTGACGTCAAAACCGCCTGAGTCCACAGCGTGCAACTTATCCGAAACGGAAGATCGGGGGCACAAAGTTGAACGCGTTGACCGAGGCACCTGCATGAAGGACCAGCCGGGGGAACCGTGATGACCTGCCAAAGGATGGACCACTTGTGCAGGAACACGCCCATGCCAGGCCGTCATCGGGTGGTACCAGAAGCGGGACGAGTGGGGATACGCGAAGCGTCAAGAATTGATTTTTCGGAAGGGCCTCTCTGGGAGGAACCCACCGACCTCGACATGATCACGTTGGTTGCGATTGCGATCGATTTGGCCGTCCTGGGACGCCACATTGACCAGATTCAGTACTAAGTTGGCGTTAGTGTTCTGACGATTGTTGGCATGCGCAGGACACCCTCTAGGATGTGTCCTCGATGTGCTTGTGGTCGATTGCTGCCCCCGCAGAACAGGGGGGAGTGGGGCCAAGAAGAGGAGGGATGGCCCCAGACGAGGGGTGGGGGCCAGGGGTCGCGTCGAAGGAAGAGAGGGCCATGACATCTGGATGATTTCATGTCCAAGTCCATAATATCCGCACGCCCCCAGCCCTCACCCCCCTCTTGGACGCTCCCGAAGGAGGGAGGGGGGCCTCGATACCCTCGGTCGCTGGCACAGATGAAACACAAACCAGTCACCGTGCTCTGGGCGGAGTGTGTATGTGCGCCATGGTTCAAACAACACTGATCGTCATGCCGACCAATAAAACATTATAACAGACTGATCCAACCGTCCGAGCGTGCTTCCTCCCTCCTCCTCCCCCAGTCTCTTTCCTCAATACGCCTGCCCAGACAATACCCGCCACCGTGCCTAAAATGAGTGGGCGTCTTCGAATGCTCGTTTGCTGTCTGCGTCGTTTGAAAACCCTCCCCAGTCTGCACTTGCTTTACAGCGCTCTTTTCGCCCTCCAGTCAACCAAAACGGCCTGCAAGACGGCTTCCAAGGCAGCCAGGATGACACCAAGGCGGCCCCAAACCACTCAAGAGGCTCGCAAGACGCCTCCAGGACAGCACAATCTGCCTCCAAGGCGGCCCGAGAGGGCATCAAGATGCCCTCCATGCGAGCCCGAATAGGTAAAACCCATTGATCGTCCTTACGTTGTTAAATGATGTTGAAATGCTCGCCTGCTTGGGCTTGAGGTTTTCAAGGTAACTCCAAGACAGCCCAAGAGGCCAAGAAACCTCCAATCTATCCCGTTAAACAGCCGAAGAGACTCCGAGAGCCATAGAAGAAGCCTCTGGCCATCGGGAGGTCCCCGAACTGTCCAGATGGTGCCACACTCCCATAATAAAGGGGGACTCCCTTGGGCATCGGTCTTGGACGGGGTGGCGGGGATATTTTTTTTTCACAGCCGCAGGCGGATGCGCCGGCGGCGGGCGGTCGCGGAACGGTGGCGGGGATACGCGAAGCGTGAAGAATTCAAGCTCCTTCCAGCTACGGTGTTGCATCGGCGCGGCGGCGAGGTTTTCCGCAAGCAATTGAATATACGGGACTCGTGGATGCACATGCGCAAAAAGGCATCGACGACTACCGCCCTCCCTCCTGCCCCTTCCCCACACCCCTGCCCCTCAAACTCCCCCTCCCGCCATGGTCCTCGCGAGGCAAAACCTAAACCCCTCCTCCCCCCTCCCCCTTCAAACTACCCCCCCCTGGTCTTAACGAAGGAGAGCCCAGACCCATGACATCATGATTGTTTCATGACGTCGACACCCCGAGGTTTCGACCATTTCCCCTAGAAGGTTTTCCACCCCGAATCCCCGAATCATGTGTTCACGGCCCCGAGGCCCCGCAAAAGCTCCGAGAGGCCGAAAATCCGCCAACCCCGTCGGCGCGTGTGAGGGGCTTGTCTGTTCGAGTCGTCGTCTCCGTCAGTCGTCGTCCCCGTCGCCCCCTTTCCCTGCGCCCTCCTCCTCCTCAAGCTTGTCGGCGAGAGAAAACTTTAGCAATGTCGCAATTGAATCGAAGGGGGGGCCCTTCCCTTTGATCCCTCCCCCGTCGGGGAGGGAGTCCCGGGGGGGATCCCGAACGGGGGGGGGTCATATGCCCGGTCCCCTCCGGGGGCCCCGGGGCCTCAGGAAGTACCAAGACGGGACAAGAGTGTCCCAAGAGGCCGCCGAGACGGTCCAAAAAGGCCCCCTTATCGCCAGACGATTCGTCCAAAACGCTTTCACAACCCAGACTGCACAGGAGGCCTGCAGGGCGCCCCAAGACGCCTCCAACAGCACACCCGAGAGGGCCCCAAGAGGCCAAATTCACTGATTCTTCTTCTTTAACATAAGAAGATTTGGGCGTTCTCGCCTTTTCCACTCTCCGCCGCTCCAGAACGACACAAAGGGGCCCCCAAGGTCGACCCAAGACTGCCCAAGGGGCCTCCAAGAGGGCCCCATAACAGACCAAGGGGACCCCGAGACATCCCAAAGCGCCTCGAAGACTCCCCCCCCCCCGCATCCACCACTTCCGCCGCCGCGCGCGCGCCGCCCGCGCCGCCTAGGCTGGCAGCTGCCCAGGTCCACGCCCGTGCGCCAGCCGCAAGGCTGTGACCAGGGCCCGACCGTGGGCTGGCGCGCGCCCAGCAACGGCCCCCTCCGCCGCGGCCTCCGGGCCAGCAGTCGCCCTGCCAGCGCCGGCCTCCCCGCCGCCCGGCGCGGCGCCGTCGCCCCCGCCCCTGCGGCCCCGGCCGCGCCTCCCAGCGCCTCGAACGCGGCCACGAACTCGGCGACGCCCGCGGCGCCGCCCGCAGCGCCCGCGACGCCGTCCGCGGCCTCGGGGCAGGTCGTCGCAGCCGCCTCGCCCGCCGCGTCGGCAGGCGCCCAGCTCCGCCGCGCCCCCCCCCCAAATGGAAATTAAGTCAAGGCCGGAGGACGGGCGGGCAGGGCAGGCGGCAGGCGGGCGACACCAGGCAGGAGGTGCCGGGCGAAGAGGAGTCAGGGAGCACCGCCAAAGGCGGCTCCAGGGGGTCGTCGTCGGAGGCGGCGCTGCCAGCATCACCTGCGAACGCGGCCCCCCGGAGGCGGCTCCACAGGAGGGTCGACGTCGGAGGCGGCCTCGTCGGTGACACCTGCGAGGGCGGCCCCGGCCCCCGGCAGGAGGGCGCCGACGCCCCCTCGGGCGAGCCGCGAACCGCATGCTGCGACCATGCGCGCCGCTCGGCGCCAGATTACGCAGCGCCGATGGCGGCGCGGGCCCGCGCGGCGAGCGCGTGCGGGGGCCCACCCAGGCGCCTGCCTGCCTGTCCAGACGACGGGCCGGTAGGCGATCCCATATGCGGCGCGTGCTTGCCGACCTTGCTGCGCAAGTGGTCGCGGTGGCGTCCTCGCCAGCCCCAGCCGCGCGCGGCGCCACGATGCCCACGTCGAGCGCCGTCAGCCAAGCAAAAGCAGCAATGGTGAGCACGTCAGCCTGGCGGAGGAGCGGCGCGGCCTCGATGAGGCCCAGCGCCTCCGATCGTGCGGCCCCGTCGGACAGGGATGCCAACGCCAGGAGCTCGTCCCGCACTCTGCTGTGGCCGCGCTTGGACTCCTCTGGAACACAGCACATTGCAAGGCGTGCGCCCCGTCGACACCTGGCTGCGAGGCAGCGGGGGCATGCACCAGGGGCCATGCAGACTGGAGCGCCATACCGCATGCGCGCGGCGATCAAGAACTCTCCCGGAAGAAGCGCCAGCGCCCGGGACAGCTCCAATAGCCAGCCGTGATCGGTGCCTGGTGCCCGCTGGTCGCGGAGGAGCTCCAAGCCAGCCACGTCGCGCCGCGCCAGCAGCGCCTCCTCCGCGGCCTCGAGACAGCGGCGGGCCACGAGGTCACCAGGCGCGCTTGGAGGCCTGGCTCGACCCTGGGGCGCTCGAAATCGTCCGCCCCTGGCGGGGACAAGAGCGCGTCAGCGCCAGTCGGGTGCGGGGGCCCCGAAGGGGGAGGCAGCGGCGCCCGCCCTGCGAGCTGCGCAGCCCGCGTCAGCGCTGCGGTCACGCCGGCCCGGAGGTGCTTGGCTGCGACCTCTGCGGCTCCGGCATTGCGCCCAGGACCTCTTCTGCCGAGCCCCGCGCCTCCACGCGGCTGGCGAGGAACGCCGGGCAGCGCAGGTCGACGGCTCGGCGGAGGCCGAGCCCCCGTCCGCGGCTGCGCAGGTGGCCCGATCCACCGCCTCGAGCGGCAGAGGTCCGCCGAGGTCGCCCGGGCCTGCTGCGCATCGAAGGAGACCAGGCTGGCGAGCAGAACTTCCGGGCCAGCCGCCCCCAAGACGGCTCCAAGAGCGTGCCCAGACGGGGGACCCGAACGTACGTTTCGAGTCCTCGGCCCCAAGAGGCTCCCAGGAGGCCCCAAGAGGATCCCAAGAGGCCCCCAAGAGGACCACGAGAGACCCCAACATTCCTCCCCAGAGGCCTCCGAGACTTCCGAAGAGACCCCAATAAACATCCCTGAGGACTCTGGCCCACGTCAGCGTCGTCATCGTCGTCGTTTTCGTCGTCGGCGGCACCGGCCGTAAGGCCTTCGCAATAGCAACAACTCCTGTCGTATTTTTGTTCCACGACGCGAGGTGGTCTGGGAAAAAGGAACGGGAGGGAAGGAAGAGCGGAAACGACTGGAGGAGTGGTGGGCGCGCTGCGAACCCCCGATTGCGTAGTCTCCCCGCGCCTTTGCCCCGGTCGACGCCGGCGGGCCGGTCCCAATCCGCCCCCTTCGCCAGGCGCGGAGGGGAAAGGAGGAGGAGGAGGAGGAAGAGGAGGAGGATGAGGAGGAGAAGGAGGTGGAGGAGGAGAGGATGAAAAGGAGGAGGTGGAGGAGGAGGATAAGGAAGTGGAGGCGAATGAGGAGGAGTGAGGGGGGAAGAGGGAGGAGAAGGAGGAGCGGTAGGGAAGGGGAGACGAAAGCACGGAGGGCTGGGGCCGGGGCGAGGGAGCCGAGCGGGGTGGGGAGGGGGTGACGCGGGAGGAGCGGTAAAGCGAGCGGCAGGAAGCTGAGCGGGAGGATGGCCCGGAGGACCCAGCGAACGTCTTGCGACGGCGACGACGACGACGGCGACGACGACGGTATCAAGACTTTTGCGATCTTCCGCTCTGGTAAGCCTCTTGGAGCCATCGTGGTGCCCTCTTGGGGCCATCTTGGAGACCTCTTGGGGCCCTCCAAGGGCTCCCTTGGGGCCCCTCTTGGGGCTCAGTCCACGACGGCGACGATGTCGACGGGGAGGCCGTGAGCGGGGGCGGGAAGCGCCCGCAAGCCACTCCCGGTGGCCTTGCCCCGCTCGCCCCGCTCCCGGCCGCCGCCCCGTGGGGGCTCGTCGCCGCCCGCGTACGCCTCGGGGGAGGGGCCGTCGTCGTCGTCGTCGTCGTCGTCGTCGTCGTCGTCGTCGTCGTCGTCGTCGTCGTCGTCGTCGCTGTCGTCGTCGCTGTCGATCGAGGCTCGTGGATCGAGGTTCGGGGATCCAGGTTCTATGGCGGTTTCGGCCCCCTTTGGACCTCCGAGGGGCCTCTGGAGGCTCCCAAGGTCTCTGGAGTCCTCTGGACGTCGTCGTCGTCGTCGACGTGAGAACTTCAAGCGGGCTCCAAGCGAGCCCCAAGATAGCCCCAAGTAAGCCCCAGGCGGGGCCAAGAGGCATGCAAGGTGGCCCCAAGAAGGGGCCCACGAGGTCCCCAGGACGCTCCCAGAGCAAAAAGACCGCAGAGTCTTGGTATCGTCATCGTCGTCGTCGCCGCACCGCCGCCGTCGCCGCCGCCGCCACCGTCGCCGCTGTCGCCGTCGCCGTCTCCGTCGCCGTCGCCGTCGCCGTCGCAGCAGCCGTCGCCGTCGCCGTCGCCGTCGCCGTCGCCGTCGCGGTCGCCGGTGCCGGCGCCGGCGCCGGCGCCGGCGCCACGTGGTCGTGGTCGTCGTCGTCGTCGTCGTCGTCGTCGTCGTTGTCGTCGTCGTCGTCGTCGCTGTCGTCGTCGTCGTCGTCGTCCCCAACCTCATGTTTCTCTTCCTTGTCCTCATGGTCCGTGTCTGCCCCCCTCCTCCCCCTTTGCACCCCCGTCGTCCGCGCCACGCCATCGTCCTCGGGGATGCGCAACATTTGGGTCACGGGAGGAACAATAGCTACGAGCGGCGAACAAAACCGTGTCCACGCCCATGCGGTCTGGATTTCGAGGCGCGTTTCCGTGGACACGCGGTCTCATGGATAATTCCGCGCGGTGCACCTGCGAGCAAAAATGCCCGTATCCATGGAGACGCGGCCCAAGGATCCAGGCAGCAGAGAAGGGGATAGGAATACATTTCCCGCACACAAGATAAGGGGGGGAATGGTTCAGGGGGAACATCGACCTGGAATCGGCGGTACATCGCCGACAGATAGGCGATGAGCACCCGTGGGCTATCGGGCCCGTGTCGGCGACGATTGGGCGGTTTGGGGCCGATGCATCCCCCCCTGAGCTCATCCCCGCCCAACGATGCCCCCAATATGGAATAACTGGGCATGAAGGAAACGAGTCCTGAGGGAAACAGGTCTTGGATCCTGCGGCTTTTCTCGGGACCAATATTCTATGATGAATTTGTTTTGACGGTCCCGGGCCCCAGGGCCCCGAGAGCTCGAAAACCTGAGGGCCCGCTTCCATCAGGACCCGCCTGCTTCATGTCGAAGAAACGGAAGACGGCGCGGCGCGACACACGTCGCCCTCGCTCTCGTCCTCTTCCTCTTCGTACTCCTCCTCATCATCATTCCTCTCCCTCTCCCCCCCACCTCATCGCCTCGTCCCCCACCCTGTCCTCCTCCTCCCTTCCCGACCCGCCCCTTTCTCTCCCCTGCCCTCCCCCCTGGACAACGATGACGAAACCGCCGCCGCCACCGGCGATGACGGCCATGACGAACACGACGGCGACGACAACGGCGACGACAACGGCGACGGCAAGAAGACTGTCTCAATCCCACCAGCCCTTTGGGCGTGAGTGGTTTAGCGAGCTCTCTCTGTTCTCAACCCCCCAACCCCCCTTCTTCCCCTTCGGGGAGGGGTTTACCCCTCCCCCTACCCCCTCCCCCTGGGCCTGGAGAGGGAGTCCCGCGGGTGGTCAGGGGGGTCTTTTTCGACGCCTGGGAGGGCCAAAAAACGACGACCCTCACGAGGATTCTGGCCCCGACGGGGGGACCCTCTTGTAGCCCCCTCATCTTCTGTGAAGCCAAAATCATTGTTTTTACATTGGTTTTGGCACCATTTTGGCCTCCCGAGGGGGCCGCGCTCATCTTCCTTCATAGCAAAATCATTGATTTTACGAGGGTTTTGGGTTCATTTTGTCCTTCTCAGGGGGCAGCGCTTCTTTGCGCTTCTGAGGAGGTCGCAAGAGGCCCCAAGATGGCCCCCAAGAGGCCCCCAGGAGCCTCCCAAGAGGCCTCCAAGATGCCCCCAAGAGGCCCCCAAGAGGCCCCAAGAGGCCCCCAAGAGGCCCCCAAGAGGCCCCCAAGAGGCCGGCAGAGGCCCCAGGAGGCCCCCAAGAGGCCCCCAAGAGGCCCCCAAGAGGCCCCAAGAGGCTCCAAGAGGCCGCCAAGAGGCCCCACGAGGAGCCCGAACGACTCACACCAGGACGAGGGGCCCGAACGACTCATACCACGAAGAACCCGAACGACTCACGCCAGAAGGAGGACCCCGAACGACTCCTACCAGGACGAGGCGCGCGACCCATTCACACCACGAGGAGCCCGAGCGACTCACACCACGACGCGCGCCTCGAACGACTCACACCACGAGGAGCCCGAACGAGTCACACCAGGAGGAGGGGCAGCGCCCAGACAAGCCCCCCCAGAGGGCCACCACGACGCCTCCAGGAGGTCCCACAGATACCCCCAAGAGGTCCCCAAGATGAGCCAAGAGGCGCCGCAGACGCCCCAAGAGGCCTCCGAGCAGCTTCCAAAAGATTAGCCCGGCAAAGCAACCTAACATCGATGTGTAGGAGCATATCTGGAAGCATTCCCCTTAAGATTCGGATGAGAATCCAGTTGTAGAATTCTGCTGTTCTCGCAGTCGTAGTCGCATTCGCGATGACAGTCGCAGTGGCAACGGCAGTCGCAGTCACAGCCTCAGCCTCAGCCTGCCTCAGCCTCAGCCTCAGCCTGCCTCAGCCTCAGCCTGCCTCAGCCTCAGCCTCAGCCTGCTTCAGCCTCAGCATCAGTCTGCCTTCAGCCTCGGCCTCAGCCTCAGCCTGCCTCAGCCTCAGCCTGCATCAGCCTCAGCCTCAGCCTCAGCCTGCCTCAGCATCAGCCTGCCTCAGCCTCAGCCTCAGCCTGCCTCAGCCTCAGCCTCAGCCTGCTTCAGCCTCAGCCTCAGTCTGCCTTCAGCCTCGGCCTCAGCCTCAGCCTGCCTCAGCCTCAGCCTGCATCAGCCTCAGCCTCAGCCTCAGCCTGCCTCAGCATCAGCCTGCCTCAGCCTCAGCCTCAGCCTGCCTCAGCCTCAGCCTCAGCCTCAGCCTCAGCCTCAGCCTCAGCCTCAGTCTGCCTTCAGCCTCGGCCTCAGCCTCAGCCTCAGCCTGCATCAGCCTCAGCCTCAGCCTCAGCCTGCCTCAGCCTCAGCCTCAGCCTGCCTTCAGCCTCAGCCTCAGTCTGCCTTCAGCCTCCGCCTCAGCCTCAGCCTGCCTCAGCCTCAGCCTGCATCAGCCTCAGCCTCAGCCTCAGCCTCAGCCTCAGCAGCCTCAGCCTCAGCCTGCCTCAGCCTCAGCCTCAGCCTCTTTCAGCCTCGCCTCAGTCCTGCCTTCAGCCTCAGCCTCAGCCTCCTCAGCCTCAGCCTCCTCAGCCTCAGCCTCAGCCTGCCTCAGCATCAGCCTGCCTCAGCCTCAGCCTCAGCCTGCCTCAGCCTCAGCCTCAGCCTGCTTCAGCCTCAGCCTCAATCTGCCTTCAGCCTCGGCCTCAGCCTCAGCCTGCCTCAGCCTCAGCCTGCATCAGCCTCAGCCTCAGCCTCAGCCTGCCTCAGCATCAGCCTGCCTCAGCCTCAGCCTCAGCCTGCCTCAGCCTCAGCCTCAGCCTGCTTCAGCCTCAGCCTCAGTCTGCCTTCAGCCTCGGCCTCAGCCTCAGCCTGCCTCAGCCTCAGCCTGCATCAGCCTCAGCCTCAGCCTCAGCCTGCCTCAGCATCAGCCAGCCTGCCTCAGCCTCAGCCTCAGCCTCTGCCTCAGCCTCAGCCTGCTTCAGCCTCAGCCTCAGTCTGCCTTCAGCCTCGGCCTCAGCCTCAGCCTGCCTCAGCCTCAGCCTGCATCAGCCTCAGCCTCAGCCTCCTCAGCCTCAGCCTGCCTCAGCATCAGCCTGCCTCAGCCTCAGCCTCAGCCTGCCTCAGCCTCAGCCTCAGCCTCAGCCTCAGCCTTCAGCCTCAGCCTCAGTCTGCCTTGAGCCTCGGCCTCAGCCTCAGCCTGCCTGCCTCAGCCTCAGCCTGCATCAGCCTCAGCCTCAGCCTCAGCCTGCCTCAGCATCAGCCTGCCTCAGCCTCAGCCTCAGCCTGCCTCAGCCTCAGCCTCAGCCTGCTTCAGCCTCAGCCTCAGTCTGCCTTCAGCCTCGGCCTCAGCCTCAGCCTGCCTCAGCCTCAGCCTGCCTCGGCCGCAGCATCAGCCTGCCTCAGCATTCAAAATGTGGCCCGGGAATGGAATTCTGGGAACTCGAAGAACACGAAGTGACCTACAGTTGGCTCCGGGCATTCAAAATCATGCCCAGGAATGGAGTTCTGGGAACTCGAAGAGCACGAAGTGGCCTACAGTTGGCTCCGGGGCATTCAAAATGTGGCCCGGGAATGGAGTTCTGGGAACTCGAAGAGCACGAAGTGGCCTACAGTTGGCTCCGGGCATCCAAAATGTGGCCCGGGAATTGAGTTCTGGGAAGTCGAAGAACACGAAGTGGCCTACAGTTGGCTCCGGGCATCCAAAATGTGGCCCGGGAATGGAGTTCTGGGAAATCGAAGAGCACGCAGTGGCGTACAGTTGGCTCCGGGCATTCAGAATGTGGCCCGGGAATGGAGTTCTGGGAGGTCGAAAAGCACGAAGTGTGTGACTGTATGCGAAAAACGAAATTCCGCGGATCCCCCCCGGAAATCCCCAACGGCCCCCCCAACGGCCCCCCAACGGCTCCCCAACGGCTGCCCAGACCCCCCTGTGGAGTAATGTGCTGCTCTCTTTTTACACTATTAGAAACCTATCAGTCTTCGATGTTAGGTAACATCTACTACGACCCTTGCCCCTACGATTACTACTACTTGTACTTCTACTACTGCTCATACTCGTTACACTACATACTGGAAATACCACCACTACTACTACTACTACCACTACTACTACTACTACTACTACTACTACTACTACTACTACTACTACTACTACTACTACTACTACTACTACTACTACTACTACTACTACTACTACTACTACTACTACTACTACTACTACTACTACTACTACTACTACTACTACTACTACTACTACTACTACTACTACTACTACTACTACCTACGACTACTACTACTACTACTACTACTACTACTACTACTACCACTACTACTACTACTACGACTACTACGACTACTACTACTACTACTACTACTACTAC